ATAATTACCACAAAAATGGCTGTAGGAACTTACAGTTCTTAGAGCTCTTTGTTAATCCTCAGGAGTTTATCTTCCCAAGCAGAAAAAGCATGAGGGTCTGGCCATGAGAGCACATAAGGTTTTGTCCAGCTCTTCCTGGCTCCCTTTTGCAAGAAGTAATAATGTAAAATAATCAGTATGCATTTAAACATCCCTTTCTGCATCATGCAGCACAACTACCAACACCCCAACGCCTGCTTTCTCATAGAACTTCTCCGGTGAGCTACAAGGCATTATCTCATGTTTCTTTGTCAAATCTTAAGAAGCTTAAAAGTTCAACTAGGTCCTGTAAACCATCCAGTGATAAAACATCCAGCTTTGTCTGATTCCAACCCTAGAACACGCTTCCAGCCACTGGGAAAATTCCAACACCCTGTGAGTCCCAGAACAAGCAAAGTCAGTTGCCCCCAGTTTTATCAAGTGCCACGACACAGAATGTGCTGAGTCTTCCTTCTCCTGTTGTAGCTGGTGCTTTTGGGAGAGTCAGTTAAGTTCTACATTATTTTAAACGTTTTAAGCTGTATTTCAGAAATACTGCAATACCACTACTACCTCATAAAGGCTTGTAGCCCAGCTGCACACCTGACTGGATTGTTGGTCAAGCGAAGCAGTAGAAATTGTATTTTGACAAAATTAATTAATAACCTTGCCAAAACACACGCCCTGTTATTTCTCAAACCAAGGAGTATTACATGGAGCCTGATACCTGACAGGCTAAAAAATTATTTGGGCATAAATCCTCTGAAGTACAGGTGAATGTTTTTAAAGACCTTCTAAAGAACACTTTGCCCATAAGCTGTGCTCCGTTTTCCCTTTGATATGCACAAATTTAGTGCTAATACAGCTTAGAGTCACAAACAGCCTTTTTTCCAGAACAGTATCACAGTAACTCCTGAACTCAGATCCACACAATTAGCTCATCAGAGTATTGCCTCTTGCAAAGTGGAAATGAATTTAGAGGAAAAGCAGACAATATTTTTTTATATAAGAGTACATTTATTACAGCAAAGTAATGGGGAGCCTGAATATTATATTTAAAGCAAAGTTGAGTAACTAAGTTGCAATCCCAGGAGGTAACACTGACCACAAGAACAACCTCTGTCACACGCACTGCTGTCCTCGGCATCCCATGGATGTAATGGCTTGCCTCAGACAGTCCAGGCACAACCAACCTTGGTGCAGTTTGTTGCTGTTTTCTTGCCAGCAGACGTGAGGTGAAGGGACAGTAGCTAAGACATGTCACCACACAAGTTTTGCTGCTATCACAGTACACGAGTGACAACTGCATTTTTTCACAAAAGAGGTTGACTTCTCCGTGGTTGTGCAACCCCCTCTCCCCATAGCCCTGCTCAAGCGTCCCCAAGCCTTACCTGCTGGTACACCAAGCATCAGCTCTGATACAGCACAGCTGTGTACCCTTGGTGCACAAGAAAGAGCTGTGGAAAAAGTCTGTGGAGTTAAAAGGTGTAAAATTAAAGCCCCCGGTGAGGCAGGTGTTCTTAGTACCTCAAGAATTCAATAGCTCAAGCTTAGTAGCTCAATTCATCCCTTTGGAAAGGTGTAAAACCTTAAAGCAAAAGAAGAAAGGAGGCTAGTTAGTGTAACCCTTCTCCTTCTGCCTGGTGGCTGCCTGGCTAGGAAAGACTCTCCAAGTGCCTCATTAGGGTGGTATTTAGCTTGCTAAATTCAAAATGCCTTTTGTGTGTAGTAACCAACTGTTAGTCACTTTATACTTCTCTTTGCAGAATCTCTTTGTGCCCATGTAAAGATGCCTAAAGAATCTAGTTCAAAAGAGGGGTACTACCCATAGGCATAGTATAAAACCAAATAAACAAAAAAGAGATACAAACACAGAAGACAGCCTTCATTGACTGACAGCGAAGCCCAAAGTTTTCAGTGCCCATACATTTGATTTCCATGTGAACACCATCGCTGTGTTTAGGGGAAGTGTCTACTTTAGATTCCTAAGATATTTCATGGCAGTTTGTGTGTCATATTGTTAGTAGAGAGAATGTGCCATCTGTTTCTTTCACCAACATCTACTAGCCTTGGATCGTGTGCAGACCTTTTTTTCTTGTTCATTATGTAAGTGGCACACACTTCTGATACCCCTGACAAAGTGGACGTGTGTGTAAAACTGGGCTATTAAAAGTTGGTTCAGCGCAGCAACTGCAGCATGACAATAACCGAATGAACTTCTAGCTTAGTACTTTTAAAATACCCCAGAAACAATGAGTCAGCTCAGAGTCTGAATAGCTGCTTAACAGCATGTAAACATCCTCGCACTCTTTCCTTTTGACATAAAAGGCAAACATTCCAGTGTATGCCATTTTGCTTGCCAGCATCTAAGTGCAATAGACAAATTTTTTCATCAATAAGAGCTAAATTGCACTGAAGGGAGGAAAATAAACCACAACTTGCTTAGAAGAAGAAAAACCCAAAAGTGCATGACAAGAAACCGTTATTTACTATGAACAGAACTACGTAACACTGTGCAACTACTTCAAATAAACCAATTTACACCAAACCAAAGACATTTCTTCTCTACTGAATAAAAGCTGTGAAAGCAGCAGCTGATACATAGGATTTTTCTCATCTTCGGCACATCTGTAAATGAAATTAAAGGACCCCTTATTTAGCTGAGTGGCACCTTGCTTTTGTTGTAAAATGTGCAGCTTCTTGATGATTTCACTGAGAACTCTGTAAAGTCCCCGAGGATAAAATACACTACCTTTGGGCTCAGCAACACGAATGTAGTTTTACCTGGGTGGTTCTCTCAGGCAATGCCAGAGCTTGTGCTGCTGTATGCTTAGCATGGACAGTGGTGAGAAGCAGTCAGAAGGGTCTCTGTACATTTCTAGAGCGCAGCATGCTAAATTCAGAATTTGTATTAAAACATAAAAGGTTATTTTCACCACTTAACAATGCAGAAAACAACACAATGCTTACAGTATTTCTTTTCCCAAGTTTCTAAAACCTGTCCATCAAAACTGATTTCTGGCAAATTCAAAATATCAGAGTGGCTGAAATACAATGGCTTTTTCCTTCCAGCAATTAAAATTCAAAATAAATCCTCCTCTTATGTTTGTTTTCAGACTAAGTTTCTGACTAAGCTTTCTTGCCCTTTTAGAAAACAAATCACATGGCTGGTAAAAGTGCACCATCTTTGAACATGTGAGAGCTGGAACAGTGGACAGGTTCCATAGCAGAAATTCCAGGACCCTTTGCAGGATGAAAACAAAGAGAGGGGCCTCTGGCATCCTGCATTCTTCCCTTCATACAGCTGCAAGACTGCTTTGTATTTGAGACAATTTGGAATCGATTTAAAAGCTAATTGGAACTTACACACCAGAAAAAATATTGTCAGCTCAGAGAAGAAGGCTGGGAAAGGGAAAAGCTGAAAAGGAGAATATGATTGGATTTAAGATCCAGCAAGCTTCAGCTCTGACGAACAGCAGAGGGAAATCCTGCCGTCAACATTTGATTCCACTACACTGGTAACTGCCAGTGAGTGACCATCCTCAATTAAACATGATTTGGGGTCCTTGTTCAAAATAGGTGAGGACACTGGCCTAATAAGCAAACATTTATTTAAGAGAAAATCTTCAAAACCACTTAATCAGCACAGTAATGCAAGGGTTTAATTAAGCTTACAACTGCTAACGGATTTAGAGTGTCATTCATTCACAGTTACCGAAGTCTGGCTCGCTCCCTCCTTCATGCTGGCACTTCTAAGTTACCACTCAGAAAGGTTTGATTTTTTTCTCCCCTTTTCCTTATGGGTCTGATACCCAGCAAGAGCAGTGAGCTGATCTGGAGGGCCACAGTGCTTCTCGAGCTCTACAGCTAGCACAGGAGAAGCACTGCCCCTTTTGGCAGCAGCCCCATTAGTGGAGCCTAATCCAAAGTGCTTTTTCTGCTAGTGGGTGAGCACTTGCAGCTCTTGACATAAAATGCTCAAGCAGTGGCAAAGTTGATTAAAACCAGGAATTTATTCTAACAGCTTCTTTCAGGACTATCCTTGCTGCTGTAATGTATTGTTGCATAGTAAAAATCCGTCAAAATCTCTCTTCTGGGTAAGGAAACAGGTTCTGCCAGGACACTCCTCCTTACAAGTTGTCTGCAGCCATGCACTTTCGAGCAAGAAAGGGATTATTACTGATATCCTTATCTAAATTTCTACATAACACAGACCAAACAGACTCAATTCAATGATTTCTGTATCAGACTTCTGTTCCAAGCCACAGTTAGAGCCATAACAAACTCACATGGCAGGATTTCAAACAGGCCCTCTGCTCTCCAGTCTTGCAGGCAGCCAAGCTATTTGCTAACAGTTTCACACATTCTCCTGCCTGTGAGAAATGTAGGCCAGCTTACCACATGCAGAAAGTGTGAAAATGCTTTTAAACAGCCCAACTGCTGGCCTCTTTTTCCCAGACAAAGAGGGAAAGTGCTTTTAAACACTCCCCTGCCTTCCACCCTGTAAACCCTCCTTTTTCACAAAGGGAACTTTCCCCTTTTGGGGGTTAAAATATCCCCTGCCCCACCATGTAGTTCCTCTAGCATCCCTCTTACAGTCCCCTTACTAAGGCCCTAGCCAAGCCACAGTGCTGCCTGCAAAAAAAAAACCCTAACCAACCATCAAATAAACAAACCCACTCCCAACTATGTCTGCCTTTAGATTATCAATATTTTAATGTATCTTTAAATATCGACATTACCCATAATTATTAGATTCTTAAGTAAAAGGCTGGAAATTTAAAGGAGTTATACTTGTTTTTATCCAAGTAGTCAATCCAAATTAATTCCAATTAGATGAATAAGCAATACTCTGGTACAGCTAAAGTAGGAATTCCTCAGAAGTTGGAGATTTCAAATTAGCATGAAACGTATGTAAGGCAAAAAATGAAGAAACAAGTTTCATCAGAAACCACGTGTAGGTAATATAATATTTCCTTGAATAATGCTCAGATGCATCATTTTCACTATATTGTTCAAAGGTTCCAAACAAAAATGCCATCAACAGGGTAAATAAAATGAGGATTCATTTTAAATTTTGAGATTGCCTATCTGAGACTAAGAAGCTGAAGGATTTGAACCCTCTTTCTCATTAGATCCCAATTTTACTTCACATTCTTTGCAAGTATGATGGCAATGCCTACAGTATTGAAATCCGATAAAATATTAAAGAACTTCGCTGAATTACCTCTAATACAACCACACAGCAAGCTGGCAAACGTTCTTGAAGAAGTAATCTCTTGCCTACATTCTCCAATTTTTGTAATTGCTTTGTGGGACATAAGCTGCAAAAGATGACATCTAAATGTCTCAGCCAATAAGCCCCCATTCATTATTATTAATTTCCATTTCCAGCAATTGCCAAAACGTAAAAGGATTTTCTGAGCAGGAAAAGACAGTCCTTGCCATTGTACCTACCAATAATGCACAAACAGAGTTAGAAGCAAGGTGGGTAATACAAAAGAGTGATGAATAGCCATTTTGTGTAACGCCAAGTGAGGAAAGTAATAGCTTTGTTACGTGGGGGAAGAATGGAAGAACAGAGACATAATGGAAAGCTTATTCACTCTTCCTAAGTCAGGCATTTCTGTAGGCATAAAAAATCACATTCTTCTGGGGAAAAGATGTGGAAAGACAGAGGAGAATGATTTCTGGGGGCACCCTTTATAGCCCCTGGATTCTTTCCTGCTTCTTGCTTCAGGCTTTGTCATTTTTTTTCTCCTCCTACCTCCCCTTGCTGTAACTGGCCACTGATGCAGGCTGAAGGACTGTCTTACTTGCTCCTATGGCATACACCCATCTCAGTGGTCTTTAGGGTGGATGCCCTTCATTCTACCCAAAATGCTAACCTTCATGTTATTATTAGTCAAGACCCCCAGAAGGGAAACTCAAGGTGCAATGTGTAGAAGCAGGCTCGTCCACTACATAAATGGAATACAATTCTCTTTTGTGTTAGCCTGCAGATAACAGGCCATCTCTATAAAAAGCTCTCTGTCTCCTCACTTTGGCAGCATTCCTTGTCCCTTTACACCAAAGCTGTATTCATACTGATACATGGTCACCATAAAAATGTTGCCAGCATTTTTCAAATAAACTAACAGTTAGAACTACAGTACCTGATCCTGGTGCCCCTGCTCAGGTTGTAGAATGCTCTGCCCTACAAACAGCCCCAGTAAAGAGTCTACTCAAATACGTGTGATCATGGCAACAGAATGTAGCCACCAGTCTTTAAATTAATGAATTCTCTTTTCAGTTCATGTTCTTTCAAAAGCATGACTGTGGTAATGCATACATAATGATCAAATCACTGGAACAGCAATGGCGATGAGTGAGAGGAATATTGATCTTGAAAAACAGAAGGCTTTAAGGAAACTTGCATTTCAGTAGAAATTGCGGAGCCTCAATTTCATAACTTAGGACCTTCATGAATTTTTTACATTTACCCTTCGAGACTAACCCCTGGGTGACAGGCATGCTGCCAAGAGACAAAGGAAGAGCGGTAAAAATACAAGGAGGAGAGTATCTGGTGTTAGGGAAAATTTGTTACCTTTTTGTTAAACACATTACACTTTTATATGTTGAATATCCGATATGTTTATAAACACATTATTCATCTTTTAAACATTAAATTTGCATATTATCTTAATCATCTACTGTATCTGTTCATTTGGATTACTATCTCTTCAAGCAGTTCATACAGTGCCAGACATCAGGCATGCTGTAGCATCTGCAGCTACTGCATGATATCTATTTATTAAATAACAACTTCCATAATCTGAATATCTCCTTAATACTGCAACACTAGTAAGGACAGCAGCTCTGATTAAATGCTGAAACCCTTTTCAGTCTTCTTTCAGAAAATGTGTAATTTAGATACAAACTCACATGATGGGCTTAAAAGGCACTAAAACACCTGGTAACCAATTTTTTAGATGTCCTAATACCTAAAGAATTTAACTTAGCCAAGATGCACAGCCATGCCTACCTTTCATTCAAAGGCAAGGATGTAATATAGTAAAATATGCCTAAGGTTGTTTTAATACAGACTTCAAGAATAGAACCAACGCTGTGATTGTTAATGTAAGTTCATATTAAACAACAGCTTAATTCAACCCTCTTTACTTACAAGGATTGATTATGCAAAAAATTCAATTAACCCTAGAATAACATATTGCTGAATTTAAAATAAGGTGACAGAGTTAACCTACAAGAATATTTCAACAAAATCCAATGCATTACAATAAATAGCATGCTATTTTGGAGCCAGTTTTGCAGAAGTACATCAAAAAGTCGTTCTCAGCGTGGTAAGAACAAGTTTGGATCACTCACCTCTGCACCAGAAACTTTCCTTTCTACATTCTTCATGGCTCCCTGAAATTTCTCAAGCACTGTGGATTTGTGAGATGGGACAATAGAACACTGGCTGAAAGGATAAACTTGGGTTAGCTTATTGAATTTAATCTTACAGGAAGAAAAAAGGTATCAATTGAAGAAGACAAATTATTTAAAAAACAAATAAAATACAATGCAAAACCCAACCAAACAAGCAAGCCCCCTTGTTCTGTTGTTAGCAGTGTGATGAAATACTTGATATCCCAATACAGAAACAGAAAGGACTACATAGGTTTTAAGTTAAAACCACTCATCCTGTTGGTCTGTACATTCCCTAAAATATCTCAGCTGTTGCTTACCCCAGAAGTATATGGCTTTATCTCTGTTAGCCACTTCATTCTCATGAGATAGATACATCATCTTTCTGGGAAAGGAATGACAGGAAGTAAGCAGGGCAGAGCATTAGTTTCTAAAAATTAAGTCCTGCCCCATACAAAAGACAATTTCAGCTCACTAAAAGCAGATTTTGCAAGTATTCAGAAAAGGGTCAACATAAACTCTGCCAGATTCCCCTAACTGGCTTAACTTTCTCTCTGAGCAGTTTAAATATATTCATGGCATTAACTGAACTCAACCATACTGCTTCATTCTCCTAATAATCAGATTGCTGGGAGGCTTCTTTTAGGCTAATGGTAGCCCTTTTTTTTTTTCCATTTTGATTGTGAGAAAGAAGTGACAGTGTGCTCTCTTGTCTTCCACTACCCAGGGTACTGAGATATGGATGGATTAGTCTAGTTTCTTTAAAGAGGTAACTCGGTTACCAGCGTTAGCACTTGTAGTATTATTATTGGACATCTGAAATACATGGTGTACTGGCTTTGGCTGGGAGTTTCTTTTCTCCACAGCTGCAGGTGTAGCGCTGTGTTTTGGATTTGTGACCAAACATGTGTTGATAACACAGGGATGTTTTTGTTACTGCTGACCGGTGCTTACACAAAGTCAAGGCCTTTTCTGTTTCTGCCTCACAAGCAAATGGGCTAGGGACGCACAAGAATTTGGTAGGACACCCAGCTGGGACAGCTGACCACAACTGACCCAAGGGATACCCCATACCATATGACGTTGTGCTCAGCAACAAAAGCTGGGGGAAAAAAAAGAATCATCAAGTTAAAATTAGTTGAAATTTTAACAATCTGTAAAAACACATCTACAAATAATACTTATTCTTGAAAGCAAAACCAGACTTTGTGGAACAAGCAGTGCCTTGGGAAAAAGAGCATGGGATTCTACCTCATTTTATGCCTGACTGATCCACAATTTTGTAAGCATAATTAATTAAATGTATTTCTTGGCCTCAAACACGCATTTTAATTTTTAGCTAATAAATGTATCAGTCCTTCGTCAAGCACTGCTCTCACTAAAGTGAATGGTGGTCCTGCTCAGGTAAACAGTACAGAACTGACTCCACTCCAGACCCTACAGAACCACTCCAAACTGGTTTCAAAGCAAGGTCACAGCAAACACAGTAAAATCCAAACAGGCTGATCGAAAGAGAAGGAAATGAGTGTCAGAGCCCTAAGTGTTCCAACAGGCTTTGCAACCTTTCTGCCCCTAAATACACCCTGCCAGGGGTTTAGTTGTTTTAGCTCAAAGTCAGCTCTAATATAGGACAGTTGTGTAGCTCCGAGGTCACCGTTCCTTGCAGATCAGCCCAATTTTGTGTTCTCTGGCAGTGACTGTTTAGCAACAAGGTCATATCATGTTTAAATTCCTCGATTTCTCCAGCAGAGGGGAGAGGAATGCCTATCTTCTGTACAGTTGGAGGGCAGGTTCTTGTGCGGTACTCTTCCCGTCCCCCTTCAGAATACATACACACCTGCACGCATGACTTGATGGGGACAGGTTATACTGGACTAGTACTTAGACATTAGGGCTCTGCCAGTTAATAACTAGTTTACCTAGCATAGCATAAATCAGAGCCCACTATCTTAAGACTCAAAAGCTCCTAGCCCTCTGAGTGTAGTGAACCAGCAAGAGTACCACATAGCCCTTTCTTCTCTTCATTTCTATGCTTAAGGTAACAGACATCTGTTTCTTCAGAAAAGTGACCAATGCAAAATCCCAGTTATTCACTAGTAATAGCATCAAAATAGGAGGGAGGAAACCCAGCATACCCATCCAATTTGCTTTAGTGGAGATGTCTGACTTTCCTATTGGGTTGTTTCAGAAGAAATTGTCTCTTTCCTTGTACTCTGCTGCTGATCTTGGTCAGCAGAAATTATGTGTTTTACACTTGGCTCCCTCTCTTTCTCCTAGGCTCTAAGATAAAAAGCCAAAGCATAAGATTGATACTGTAAGTTCAGTGTTCGCCTAGAAATAATAATGGCCAAGTTGAAAGCGTATTTTTTACATCAGATAGCATCCAGTCACCTGATCATGTACAGTTTACAGCACAGTGTATCACTAGCTATACAGTTAGGTATAGCCTAATTCAAACAGGGAAGTCAGTAAGTACAGTAGATGCTGGATCATGACCTGGCATAGCACTCTGAAACATAAAGAAATGAGAATAAATATGAACAAGGCATCCCAAACCTTCCTAGTTTTCACTGTATTGCAGGTCAAAAATTTAACTTTGGTGTGCTGTACTGAAAATGTACAGAATCACTGTACTGCTGCTGTCCTCATAGCTGTCACCTCAAGCTTGGATTCCACAGGACTCATAATGCAAGCCTATCACAAACCACACCTGCATTTCTAACAAACACAATCCAGTTACAAATATCCTTAAAAAAAAAAAAAAAAACACAAAAATCTAAGAATAAATAGATTCCAAAAAGTTTAAGAGTCCATGCCTGAGAATTGTACTACCAGGGAAAACCAAGAAGGAATTGCATTTCTGGAGTAATTCAAACTTCTAAACTGTAATTTTTCCCTAGCACTTTGCTACATGGGCTGGCATTTTATTTAACAATGTACAGGGCACTGCTGCTTTTCAAAAAGTACCTTCTGAGAATGGTGGCACGAAACAAGGCTCAAACAACTGCAAAGGACACAGTAAAACAGGAAGCATATGCAACAATAATCTGAATAGATTTTGGCATTCATAACATTACTGTATAAATCACTTCCTGCACTTATTCTGGGGTCAGTTACACAGCTGTAATGTTCAAGCAACCTCTGCTTCACACACTCTAGATATTCTGACAACAATCCTTTTTTTAAGTAGTGGAACAGAAGCAATATGACCACCTCTCCCCCTGTTAAAATGACTCAGTTAAGCATTGTGTTCAAACCAATCTGTATTTTATTATCAGCCACACAAGTTTAAGTTTGAAAATCCACGTAATGTTGGGAGAGCCACAGCTTTTCACTGCCTTCCTCACCCTGACTAAATAAGAGCAATTTAATTTTCCATCAGTCTCTTGTCACTTAATGCAAAAAGACAAGGGAGAAAATGCGTAAGACTTTAAAGAGGTTTACATCAATCAATGACACAAAGTCGTCTTATTCTGATATGCTCACAAAGCCCACCTGTGCAGACAGCTGCATAAAAATCATCACTGAAAGTACTGACTGTTCTGGCTTCTAACTGCTGCAATGGGTTTTAAGCACTTCATGAGGATTAAAAAAGCTGAGTCACTGGAGAAAATAAATAATAAAAACATAAAATCAGGAGTATACAGTAGGTTACAACAAGCTGCAGCTTTCCATTAACTTCCTGTATTGTCTTCAGCATACATTTCTCTGGAATTACAAGTTATTCAGCTACACTTCCACTTCAACACAGTGAAGAATCCCCAAAATAAGCAGCCTCCCGGTAACTCTCCCACTTGGAATGAAGCTGAAAACTACAACAGCAAGAACAAAGCAGACACAGAGCTGAGGTATTCAAAATATTATTTAATTAATAATAGTAATAATTAATATTAGTACTTAGCACACATATTGCCTCCTATCTCAGGAATGCAAAAGTGTTCCAGTGTTTTGGGGCACTGTGTCTTGGAAAGACAACTGTCATCTCCCAAAATATTTGCATTTACCTATTGAAGAAATGTAACTTTCTCACATATCTTTATTGTAACACTTACTGCTGTTTTCTCAACCCAACTATGTAATCATTAGTGTAACAACAGCATATTCTCTAAGCTGCATTGGGAAGATCTCCTCAAGGATGTCATTCTTATTAACTGAAATATGTGTACTACACATAACTAAATCAATCTGGTTTGCAAGGATCAAATACTCAAAAAAAACTTCCTATTCTACAAGAACAGTTCTGGATCATTTACAGGAAAACAAGTTAATGTAAGACTCCTGAAATTCCCAAAACCCTCACGGTTTTGATTCTTCTAACTGGCTCATAAAGCAGTAGTATGCAAGAAGCTAGTAAGTTTTCTGGACGTGAGAACTGCCAACTTTGTGTACTTCTGTTTTCAGTAAGAAGCCTCCTATTTGTATAGGAATGGTGACCGTTCAATTTCTAAGATTACTTGCTGGAGAAGGTGGGAGCCAAAACTGCATGTTAACTGGTGTATGCAATTGGCTGTGATTTACAGTGGCGACACTGTGCATTTGCCCAGGGCAGGTGGCACTGAAGTACCATTACTGAGATAACCCATTAGGACTTGAGAGAGGCCCTTCAAGGACTGAGTGTCCATTGTAAGGAAGAGGGGAAGACTCACTATGATGTTTCACACGTTATCTTCTGAACTGGACCTTTATTTTAAATCCAGGCTCTTATTTCTTAGGAGGATCAAAAGAACAGCTGCACTGGGTCTTCGACGGAACGCAGCCTACCAACAACTGGGGGGACACCACGAAGTGAACCGGCTGCCTGCCTCGCTCTGCCCAGCCGCAGCACCTGCTCAGACGTCTGCCGACAGTCACTCACTCACTCACCCACCCAAGGCACAGCACGCCAGCCAAGAACAGGGTATTACTTTGTACTCGCTGCTTCCTCTAGGGCTAAGGATGTAGCTGGGGACAACGCCGGGAGGGCTGCGTTTCGTGGGAATAAAGAGTAGTTGCAATCGGCCACGGGCAGGTGTCCGCTCTGGCCCGCAGTGAACTTCCCTTCTTAACCGGGCACCGGGCCTGTTACACCCAGCCCCAGCTTCCGTGCCTCGCGTTGGGTGAAGGCCGCTGGGGAAGAGGGAGGGGCAGGGGCGAAGTGTCGGAGCTGGCGGCAGATTCCCCTTCCGAGCCGCCTCCTGCCCCGACCTTTCACTGCCGTGACGCGGGAGAAATCCGGCTGCGCGGAGCTCAGGCCCTTCTGGACGGGACGGAAAGGAGGAGACCAGCGCTCAGCGCTCCCCCGGCCGCGTCCCCTGGCAGCGCTCACCCTCCGCGGGGCGCCGGGCCAGCGGGGGAAGAGGAAGCGGCGGGCGGGCCCATCCGCGGCAGAGCCCGTACCCCCCCGGGCCCGGAAGCCCGTGTGGCCGCACAGCATCCACAGCCGGGTGGGCACCGGCTCTGCCCCACGCCCCTCTCAGCCGCCTTCGGAGAACGTGCCGACCCGCTCCTGCCGGGCTCCACCGCCATCTCCTGGCCGCCGGCGGCACGGGCAGACCGCGGCACGAGTCCCGGTGAGAGGCGGGGCAGCCGGGCCAGGCAGGTGGTGCTGGGGCGCCTCGAAGGCGAAACGCCGCCGAGCGCCTCTCGGCCCCGGGGTCCTCGGTCCCGCCAACACCGGCTACAACCCAGCAGGCCCCGTCTCCCCGTGGGTTGCTCCGGGAAAGTGAACACGCTGATGAGGGGGCTCCCGACTCCTCCGATTTCCCCAAGGGAATTCAGAGCACTGGTGTAGTTTGTTGGGGAAGTCACAGTCAGGTGACCGGGCACGACCTACGGTGCTGGGGGTGTCCGATTAACTCAACATAGTACGTGGAAACCTAATGAAATCCTTTTCTCTAAAAGAAGCGACAAATGCCATTTTGACCATTTTGGAATGAAAAACTTTGCTTATCTACTTTAATACTATGCCTACATAAGCAAATCAATATATTTGAATGACAATATTAATAAGAAGTAAATACTTCAATCAAAAGTAATCTTGCAAGGAAAAGTTATCCTGCGAATGTCAGTTCAGGGGGTGTGGGGTTCTTCTAGGAATACTGAAAAAAAAAATAGTTCCATTTTCTCTGAAATGAGAAATGCAGTGCTTTTAACAATAACCGTTCTAAAACAAAGCTTGTAAACATGAGTTTTGTTTTGCATTTTATCTTTAATAAAAACTGTCTTGCGCTTTGTTTTATTTATTTGGTTTTTGTTACAGTGAGATGTAGTTTTTAGTCGAGTATCCTAAATGGTGATATGACACTTCAAGTATTTAGCACTAATGGATAGCCTGTGAAATCACCATTGTACTTCCTCTTCTTGCAAGACCTTGGCATCTCTATTTCACAGTAAACATGACACAAGTCACAGTTCATTTTCTTAAGTCAAAAAAAACTTTCAACTTCCAGAAGTCTTGGCCACTTGAAGCCCTTTACCCGTACCATTCTCTCACGCATCAGCCAAAGCAGAACATTGGGCATTGCTGTTACAAAATGTTTTCTTCACTTGGAGGTTTGTCAAGAGTGACATAGAATCACAGAATCACAGAATAGTTAGGATTGGAAAGAACCTTAAGATCATCTAGTTCCAACCCCCCTGCCGTGGGCAGGGACACCTCACACTAAACCATGTCACTCAAGGCTCTGTCCAGCCTGGCCTTGAATGCTGCCAGGGATGGAGCATTCACAACCTCCCTGGGCAACCCGTTCCAGTGCCTCACCACCCTCACAGGAAAGAACTTCCTCCTTATATTCAATCTAAACTTCCCCTGTTTAAGTTTTAACCCTTTACCCCTTGTCCTGTCATTACAGTCCCTAATAGTCCATCCCCAGCATCCCTATAGGCCCCCTCCAGATACTGGAAGGCTGCTATGAGGTCTCCACGCAGCCTTCTCTTCTCCAGGCTGAACAGCCCCAACTTTCTCAGCCTATCTTCATACGGGAGGTGCTCCAGTCCCCTGATCATCCTCATGGCCCTCCTCTGGACTTGTTCCAACAGTTCCATGTCCTTTCTATGTTGAGGACACCAGAACTGCACACAATACTCCAGGTGAGGTCTCAGGAGAGCAGAGTAGAGGGGCAGGATCACCTCCTTCGACCTGCTGGTCACACTCCTCTTGATGCAGCCCAGTATACGGTTGGCTTTCTAGGCTGCGAGTGCACACTGCTGGCTCATGTTCATTTTCTCATCGACTAACACTCCCAAGTCCTTCTCCGCAGGGCTGCTCTTAATCTCTTCCCTGCCCAACCTGTAGATGTGCCTGGGATTGCTCGGACCCAGGTGCAGGACCTTGCACTTGTCATGGTTAAACTTCATAAGGTTGGCATCAGCCCACCTCACAAGCGTGTCGAGGTCCCTCTGGATGGCATTCCTTCCCTCCAGGGTTATCAACAGCTTGGTGTCATTGGCAAACCTGCTGAGGGCGCACTCAATCCCACTGTCCATGTCAGAGACAAAGACATTAAACAAGACCAGTCCCAACACCGATCCCTGAGGGACACCACTTGTTACTGGTCTCCAGCAGGACATTGAGACATTGACCACAACTCTTTGTGTGCGGCCATCCAGCCAGTTCTTTATCCACCGAGTGGTCCATCCATCAAATTGATGTCGCTCCAATTTAGAGACAAGGATGTCGTGTGGGACAGTGTCGAACGCTTTGCACAAGTCCAGGTAGATGACATCAGCTGCTCTACCCCTGTCCATCAGTTCTGTAGCCCCATCAGAGAAGGCCACCAAATTGGTCAGGCAGGATTTCCCCTTAGTGAAGCCATGCTGGCTGTCACCAAGCACCTTGTTGATTTTCATGTGCCTTAGCATGCCTTCCAGGAGAATCTGCTCCAAGATTTTGCCAGGCACAGAGGTGAGACTGACTGGTCTGTAATTCCCCGGGTCATCCATTTTCTCCTTCTTGAAAATGGGGGTTATATTTCCCTTTTCCCAGTCATCGGGAACTTCACCTGACTGCCATGATTTCTCAAATATGATGGCCAGCGGCTTCGCAACTTCATTCACCAGCTCCTTCAGGACCTGCGGATGGATTTCATCAGGTCCCATGGACTTGTGTACGTTCAGGTTCTTAAGATGGTCTCGAACCAATTCCTCTCCTACAGTGGGCCTAAGGTGTACATTCTCACAGTCCCTGCATCTGCCTTCCAAGGCTTGGGTGGTGTGGTCAGAGCCTTTGCCAGTGAAGACCGAGGCAAAGAAGTCATTCAGAACCTCAGCCTTCTCTAAATCCAGGGCAGCCACTTCTCCTGATAGCTTCCAGAGAGGGCCTACGTTGTCCCTAGTCTGTCTTTTGTTTGCCACATACCTACAGAATCCCTTCCTGTTATCCTTAACAACCCTAGTCAAGTTTAATTCTAACTGGGCTTTAGCTTTTCTAACCTGGACCCTAGCTTCCCAGACAACATCCTTGACATACTAAACCAGGTCTTAAAAGTGTGCCTAGTATCTCCCATGATCTAAGAGACATTCTTGAAATCATACATGAAAACTATTTGATAGATACGGGCTACATGCTATCCTGAAAAATACAATACGCAAGACAATCCTATGTGGGGTACCTAATAACTAACAATTTCTTAACAAGTTCAGCTTAAACTGGTCATAAAATAAAAGAGGGCTGGAATGACAATGTCTTCATGAGGCATATGTGTGCCCAGGAATAGTGGTTGCTTGGATTCTTGCACCTTCCCATGCAAAAGTGTGTATTAAAAATCAGGTTATATTTCCTCTTAATTTTAACTTTAAAGGTAAAATTGTTTATCACAATTATGTTGCTCAAACACCTTATGTTTTTAAGATTCACCTGAGAGTAGTTCAGAGCTATAAATGAGAGAAATTGCTAAACAGATAAAAGCAACTGCTAGTGATTCAGAGTAATAAACACAAAGTGAAAGAGAGACTCTGTCTGGTTTTCTGAAGACACTTCTAGGAAATGCTGCAGGGTTACCAGGATCCTGAGGTTTACCACATTCACCAGAGGTAAAGCCTTCCCAGTGTGCCTATTTAACAGAAACATTCCACGTATGCATACAGCACTTAGAGAAGGAAGAAGTATGTTACCAAGTATGATAACTATGGTTTGTCTATTATAAAATCACAAAGAATGTTAATTGCTTAAAAATTCCCTCAGAAACGAAGACCTGCAGTAACAGAAGTGCAGTTATAAAAATGTGTCAGTAACAGAAACATTTAGAACATCCAAAAACATGCAAGAACTATGCTGTAGGGCACTATTCTCATGCTAAAGGGTGTAGGAGTTAAGGGTTAATGAAAAGAGGTGAATTCTTGGATATATTTTACACTTGGTCTGGCCTATCTTTTAGCAGAAGCGACTAGCTGACAATCACCAGATGTTCAAGGTCTAGGGTTTTTGCTTCTCACTGTGAAGCAGCCAGTAAAATGGCCACAGGGTTTTCTCTTTTCTTAGGCTACATAGCTATATGCATCTTTTCTACAGTAAAGACCTACAACAGCAGCTGTTTTCAACGTGTTTATAGGTGCTTCATATTCAGATTTGATTGTAGCTGCCATTTGTAATACGTATTGAAATTAATCTAGACCTATTATATGGAGTACATAACAGGAATTAATATGGTCAGTGTTTGTGAACCACGTCCCACAGAACATTTTCCTGAAAAAGGCCTTTAGCGAGTTTCAGTATTTATTAGTTCTGTGGTTTAGGGCTAATTTAGAAGAGATGAGGTTACACTTCAGCCCTCAATAGTATTTTGTAGCCAACACACTGTAACCTTGAGAAAAAGACAACCAAAATAATGTTGAGTACAAGTATGCATACAGAGTGTAAAGGTAATGATTAAGAAGCTTTACACTGTTGTGCAAACAGAATAGGCAACGAATGACCTGCAAGTCTTTGTGGTTTACCTGCAGCTGTGGCAGGTGCCTAACTGTAAACTCACCCACCCCAGCTTTTTCCAGAGTCACTTTAATAATCTGTCTTTGTATTTTCATGCCTTTTTCCTCCGTTTCTCTGGCACTTCCTTCTGCTTCTCAATCATGCCTACTCAGACACATCTCTGCTGAACAATGTGCAAGGACAACTTCTCCCAGGTGTCTGACAGTTCTTTTATGTGTTTCATGTGTTTTTATGTGTTTCATGTGTTTATTTAGGCTTTCAAAACATACTTGTGTTATAGTTTGAAGCCATATAAAGCACTGGTTTTTACAATCACTAGCTTCAGAGAGGTTTACTCTATCAATACCAATATAATTGTGGGGGATGATATTTATTTTCTGTTAAATTCAGGTTTTTTTGGTCTGCCTTAAGGCTATATTAAATACTATTCTAAAATGAAGATGCTCCTTTTTTCTGTGAGCAGAAACTCCTACTGTAGTATGTTCTCTTGGTTTTGCTGGTCTGCCATTGTTGTATCCTATTGTATATATCAGATGCTATTGCTTTATTTTTTATCAGCTACACATGTGGCACTCAAAGTAAAAAAAAAAAAAATACAGTGAAAGGCATTCCTACACATGTATGTGTAATGAAGCACCTTGTGAGCATTGACTTTGGTATTTAAATCTTTCCATTCTGATTTCAAAACACATTACACCCAAAAACTCCTTCCTCTTGTGCTCTGATGCTTACCTGTGTGACAACTCTATGGAGATAACGTGAATATAACTTTGTTATATTTGAAGCCAAATTCAGTAGTTATTAAGAATGTGTGAGAATACAACGGCTGTATTTGTCAGGAATTGCATTATTCTCATTGCATTACAAGGTTAATGGAATGCCCGACTAGCACATCAGGTTCGTGATTCCAGGCCTGTCTAGTTTTACTGCAACTCCACCTCTGAACGATGATGCAAGTTAATGCGATTACATAAAGTGTTGCAAGATTGTTTCAGATATATATTGGCTGTATACATCCTGTGAGCCTCACACTCTTGCCACACAGTTAGAAAAGCTGCCATGTTCTGGGTTTACTTTGGCCAAGGATCTCATCTTACAAGTTCCGTTTGTGTCATGCCACAGCAAGATGAAATGCAAGTCATCACTTGCATAACCCTAAACCAGCGAGAGGTGAACTTCGTGATTATTCTGCTATGACTTTTCTTAAATGAAGAAAGATGCCTTCAGTGACATGGAACTTGAAGAAAAGAGAAAGGAGGTCATTAAACCTATGAGACTCATTCTTCCTCCTCTAGAGAGGTTGACTTTTCCATCAAAATACTTCAATTCTTTTGTGGACATTTGAAACACAGTATGTTTCAAATAGCAGCCAAAATTCAACAGTTTTTATAGCTAGACAAACCCCATTATATTGCTGAGTAAATTAATTATTTGTTTGTGAGACTATTGGGACAAACTTTACTTCAGTACTGTGCCCACAAAACTGCTTTGACAGAATTTATTGCTTATAATAGCCCCATGTAATAAGAGTTAACCACCACGTATTCATACAACCAGCAAGTAAGCGCGTCAGCTCCTCTTTTCCCCATCAGCCTATGGGATTATGACCTTTTGCCTCTATTCTTCTTCCTAGCTGGTGCGACTATCCAGTGGACAAGTGCTCCTTTGGCAACACAGCAGCAAGGAGGTGAGATCTACTCACCGTTCCTTGTTGTGAAGAATAAACTCTGGCCACAGAGGCTGACCTCCATGGAACGCCTGGTTTAACTGAGCACCTCTCCACAGTCACCTCACACCACGCCATCCTCTCCAGCCGCTGTGCCGTCTCGGTGCGGGCTCGAGCATCTCTGTGACCACACAGCTACCGGTTCCCGCTCCGCAGCATCCCTGCAGGCTTGGGCGAAGGGTTATTCCTCTCCTTCGGCATCCCAAGCACAGGAATTAAAGAACCTCGGGCCCCAGCAGTTACAGACCTGAGCGAGCAGCCATTTCTGCCAGCGACGGCGCACGGGTCAAGGCTGGTGGGTTGAATGGTGGCAGATCAGCTAAATCCCTCACACCGCACTGACCCACAGCTCCGGGCCGGGCAGCACCGCCCCAGCTCCCGTGAAGCGGCTCCGCCTACGCGGCGTTGGGGCGCGCTACGGCCGCGTGCCGGGCGGGCTCCGTGACGACACGGACGGGCGGCTGCGCCGCGTCTTGCCGGGCACTCGGGACCGAGCCGGACCGAGCCGAGCCGAGCCGAGCCGAGGCGTGGAGCCATGTTCCACCTGTGGAAGGCCGTTCTTGCGGAGAGCCTCCTGGGTAGGTGGTGCCGGTATCGCCCGACGAGGATGGGGCAGGAGTCTGTGAGGGGCCGCGGCCGGCTGGGAGGCGGTCAACGGCAGCATGCTTCATCCCCGCCTGGGAGCCCTGGGGTGTCTAACGGGAACGGCCGGCCGCTGTAGCGGAGCATCCCCGCAGTGTGTCGTGGGGGTTACCGTTCGCGAGAGGGAGGTGTTGCTGGTGGAAAGCTCCTCCGCTGGGGATGAGCGGAGACTGGTCACTGATGAGTGTTCTCCTTCGGGTTCTTTTTTCCTTCTGCCTGCCGTGATGCCTTTTCTCCTGGGATCAGCCGAGGATTTACGCGCACCCTCAGCTAGGTGTGTGTGCGGGTACGCGCACAGCCCCTGCGGCTCTTTGCGGTGCTGCCCGGGCAAGGCGAGATGTGGCGCGGGGCACTCGCACCGGCGCGCTCGGCGCATCCCCTGCGCAGCGCTGGACCCTGGCGAAGGTGTTTTCAGGGGAGAGCTGCGCACCGGGTTTCTGCACCAGTTCTTTCAGCCACCGACCGGTGCTCGAGGAGCCCTGAGGCTGTGGGTGGACTCGTCGTTTAGCCAGCATTGTTCCCTCTGAACGCTAGCCCTCTGAGCGCTGAGCGCTGAGCTGCGCTGAGGATCGAAGCAGGAGCTACTGTCAGAGTGGAATAATAGAGTTTTCTGCTCATCGTTCTCTTTTCCTGGGAAAATGTGTTCGTTTAACTTGAAATAGCCAGTTTCTGTGAGAAATACTTGCTATTATTAGTTGTACTAATTTCTAATACATGTGATATTCTACATTTGGGAGTATAAACCAGTATGCCCTTAAGGACTCTCCAGGAAAACAGGCTGTTGAAAGTAAATGACTTTTTTTCCCTTTTCCCCTCTCTTTGTTTTTAGGCTACATTTCTTGGTCTCTTTACCATGCCCTGCCACCAATGATTTATTACTTCCCCCTTCAGACACTGGCACTCACAGGTCTGGAAAGTTTTGCTGTTGCCTTCTTTTCTCCAGTATTCTTGATAATTGGCCCTTTTTGGAGGTTGGCTAACAATAAGTACATCCTAGCCCTTCTGAGACTCACTATGGTTGGTAAGTATGCTCTGTAGTGAGTTATAGATTATATGCTGGTATAAAGGAATAAGAATAAACTTTTCAAATTGCCTCAAAAGTCATATGATTCTGAAAACAGATACGAATACGAAGTTTTTGTTCTCCCAAACTCATGCTTTTCTTTTTGTCTCATGCTTTTCGATATGGTCAGAGGAATATTGTTTGCAGCCATTGGTCTTTGGACCAATGCAGTACTTGTTTTTAGACCAGTACTGCATGATTAAAGACAAATCTCATTTCAGTTTTATTGCTAGAAGCTTTCAAATTAGTACAAGTCATGCCCAATAGGAAAATGTTTTCAGTATTGCATAGATTGGCAGAACAGGGTTGTTTTTTTTATAGCAGTGCTGTGCCAGTAACAATGGGTAGGGAGGAGGTGTTACAGAACAGCTTGGGGCTATTGTAAAAGTAATCTGCTATGTGTGGAATGTTTCTGAGGCAGGTTTTTTTACAGGTTTCATATATACATGTATACACACATACACACACATACACACTATGTAGCATATTGATGAGATTATGGGCTCATCCTAGATGTGACTCTCATATTGGTAATTTCACAGGAAGAAAATTTGATATTAAATTCAAGATAAAGCTGCCTCACTACCTATCCCACATGCTCCTCCATAAACCAAGACTTGCTGGCATTCCCTCTTTGGTCTTTAGCTAACTGGAGCAAGCCTTAGCTCTTGTTGATGTCCTGAAATTTTGTTGGGAGAAGGTTTGGCAGCTACAGTCACATTCAGAAGCAAGTTACTGCTAATGAGTTTGCAACACCTGGCAGAACTCAGACGAGACAAGGGTCTCCATCCTGCATAGAGGGAAAATACTGCTGCTAAGTGATGTGTTTTGGAAGCAGTGGTCCCTGGCTCCTCATTTATCAGTATAAGATTATACTCAGGGAATCACTTTCCATATAAATGTCCTCTTCTACTGTTACAAGACAGAACAGGATCATCTTAGTTACTTATTTCCTTGCAATTTTTTTTTTTAAGAATTCTTATTCTTTTTCTCTAAAAAGATACTAGAATTGAACAGTTTCTTGGTGTCATCAGTGTAGATGAAGAATAGTTTTACCATGTTTGTTTCTTTTTCTAGTCTTCACATCATATCTATCCTACTTTTTTTTTTTAATTTTGTTTTTAATAAGTTTTCAATGAGCAGCATTTTCAGCTTTCTGCACTGGTGCTCACTGTATTTTCTACATCTGATAATTTAGAAACTAGTAGTGAGTGTAAGCATTTCAAATTGCGCTCTGCTTTTCTTCAGATAACCACAGTAATGAAAATTTACCATGCTTATTTAAGATTAGTCCTTCAGATCATAGAATCACAGAATAGTTAGGGTTGGAAAGGACCTTAAAATCACCTAGTTCCAACCCCCCTGCCATGGGCAGGGACACCTCACACTAAACCATGTCACCCAAGGCTCTGTCCAACCTAGCCTTGAGCAACACCAGGGATGGAGCATTCACAACTTCCCTGGTCAACCCATTCCAGTGCCTCACCACCCTTACAGTAAAGAATTTCTTCCTTATATCCAATCTAAACTTCCTCTGTTTAAGTTTAAACCCATCACCCCTTGTTCTGTTGCTATGGTCCCTGATGAAGAGTGCCTCTCTGGCATCCTTATAGCCCCCCTTCAGATACTGGAAGGCTGCTATGAGGTCTCCATGCAGCCTTCTCTTCTCCAAGCTGAGCAGCCCCAACTTTCTCAGCCTGTCTTCATACAGGAGGTGCTCCAGTCCCCTGGTCACCCTCGTGGCCCTCCTCTGGACTTGTTCCAACAGTTCCATGTCCTTTTTATGTTGAGGACACCAGAACTGTACACAATACTCCAAGCGCACACTGAAGCCGGCTCATGTTAAGTTTCTCATCGACCAGCACCCCCAAGTCCTCTGCAGGGCTGCTCTGAATCTGTCCTCCACCCAACCTGTAGCTGTGCCTGGGATTGCTGTGTTTACCAGTTCATATTACCAGAAGAAGTGGAAATGGCTTGAATGTGTCTAATTTTTGTTCTGCTAAGTAAAAAGCAGTGACAGGCCTACAGTGCTTTATAAAGTTTGTTGGTTTATAAACCTGTTCACTTTCACTGATTTGCAAGTTTCTGGAGATACTAACTACAGACAAAAAACCAGAACCTTCAGCAGTAATCTGGAGAAAAGATGTGTTAATGGAGGTGGTCACAGAAGGACTCAGAGCATGGGGAGACCGAAGCTGTACACATCCTCACCCTGAGCAAACCTGAGCATTGCTGTATGCAGATATGATCTCCCCTTCATTCCTGCCTGAACAGGAACTGTTCCCTCAGTGATTCATATCACCCTGCTGTTTCCCTCTCCCAAGCACTCTTAATATTGACCACCCCTTGGCAAGTCTACACCATATTCTTTCCCAGGTGCTTGCTCTGCATACTCCTTACCTGTTGCCCTGCAGTGAGCATTAGCATTTGGGGAAGATGTAAGAGCATCTTCCTCACCCTTTGTCTCCATCAAGTTTAGCCAATGGTAGCTCACTTTATGCTTGCTTCCCTACTGCAGGTTCTCAGGTTATCTAGATTATTTCTGTCCTATCATGCTGTGCCGCTGTTTCTCCTGTTCTTCAGTTCTTACTGCTTCCTTTCCTTCTTCATACCTTGAGACTTCTTCTTTCTTTCTGCTTTTGCCTTTTTTTTTTTTATGCTTCTCAGGCAGGCCACAGCCTTCCTCTGGGGCTTGTTGAGCAAAGTCATGTAGAACAATCTACCCTGTGAATGCTCCACCCCATTCCACTGGAAATATTCAGTCTTCAATTTCACAATCAAAAAAATCTGGAAATTATTCATGCTTTGCTAAACTTGACTATTTAGAGAATTGGTTTTTTTTGCGTTTGATGGAAAATACTCTTCATTATTGGTCATAATGTTTTTGTCTTTTCAGAAAGCGCTATTTTCTCTGAAACCTTTGGTTTAATTTTTGTATCCTTTTGTGCTACTTGATTTCATGTTCTGTTTAAAAAAAAACAGACCAAAACCAGCAATGAGCTACCCTAGTGGTAGTGTCTTCCGACAACACACAGTAAATCTGTTTGCTCAGATAGATATATTTACATTTTGGGTGTATGTGTTCAGCAACAAAAGGTGTGTCTGCTGTAAGCAGGCAAACCCACAGTAGTTTTAATCTGGCTAGCGCAAGTGATGAAAGGTGTGAAGAGGCAGAGCTGCAGATTTCAGCCCAGTTCAGTGACAGACATCTGCGTGCATTGTACATGCAGCCCTCTGCTAAAGTCCAAAGTATCTTCACTACACATTAATTTCATTTTACCATCTTTGCCCTAAACTTTGCATCTTTTACTCTGAGCAGAATAAGCAAATAGACAATCGGAGGATTCCTAGCATGCGGTGTCAGAATCAGCAGCCCTATGTCTGGCCTTTCTTGTTTAATGTCTCTTCAAGTTTGACTCTTGCTCACTTAGCAAATGGCTGGTAGCAAAACAACATTGCTTCTTCTGCTGTTTGTCACTGGTCCAGGGACAGAATTTGCCACACTGATGTTATGAAAATGTGTGACCCATAGTAACTTGAATTTGAAACCTGCTGGCAGAGTTTAGAACAGCTGATAAAAGGTGAGGTCACTGTGTCCTGCGAAGTGGCAGAGATGTGTGTGCAGGCTTGTTGAGTGACCGGGAGAGTGACTGTTTCCAGTAAGAAGATGACACACGCTGTTAATGGCTGCTCTTGAGACCAGAGAAAGCCTTGTTCACACCCGCTAAGGCAATTGTTCACTAATCCTTGTGCAATGTACGGTAACTGCTCCTTTCTAAAAAGGATGTGGCTTGTGCTGTAGCACACTTACATAACTCAAAAGCAGTAAACATAAATGCACTGTTGCATTTTGGCTTTTGAATAATTTAAGTGCACTGCTCAGGAATATCTGTATGCTTAGATATTTTATCCATATATCCTATTTATGGAATCAATGACCATAAGTACTTAAATTAAGGCAATTGCCGCAGTTTTAGGTAATTGCTTCATGTTATTTTTTTTCCCTGAAAATGGTAATTGCTACAATTTCACATATACCCAGTTTCTATCTATACCTGCATTCCTTTGGTTTGTTTAAAAATGTGTAGTGCCATGTGTTTTCAGATGAATGGTTTAGCCATCCAAATTGCAGACAAGATTGAACTAATGCCCAGGAAATCCTTATTCCCTGATTTTTGCTGCCCATTAAAGCAATCTCTGTATATGTGTGTTTGTTTGTAGGAAGCTTAGCATCATACCAGGCACCAAATGCTCCAATTAGACTAGTCATCTTGGCTGCAGGTGTTTCCTCCTCATTGCTGGTTCAAACAGTAACATGGTGGTCAGGCAACAGTTTACAAAGGTATTTTATTATACTGTTGGGATTGTAACAGACATTGCTTTATATTAAAAGGTGGTTGGTTCTTTTTAAGAGGTTGTTTTGCTTTGTTTTTTCTCAAGTGCATCACTGTTGCTAAAACTGATTGTTACAGGTTCATCAGGATATGGGGCTTCATGCTAGGCAAGATAATGCTCCTTGTTCTTCGCATCTGGTATACATCACTAAACCCAGTCTGGAGCTCACAAGCTGCCAATACTGTTGTACTGGCAGTTGGTTTTATAGCAGCAGTGGAGCGAATTTATTCAGGTGAGCGTATTGCAGCAAATATGGCAGTTATGAAAACGTCTTAAGGTATACATATCTATGTGTCCCTGGGGTTTGATACTTTGGGGTTTTTTATCCCCAGTACAGTCTAGTTTTAGACCTAATGCATGAGCACTGCAGACTTTGGAAACCACGGGGTGCTTCCATCTACCCCATGGCAGAATTTGCTATCACAGTTCATACACGCTGTAGTAAGTTGTGCTGGAACTGCCGACTAATTGCAGTATCAATAATGTGACAGTCATGCAAACAACAGTGTAATCTAGACCAGTAAAACCAGAATGGGTTATCCTCACTCCAGCATGAAACATCTGTGGTATTTCTGTATTTTCTTAATTCTGTCTGCTCTTTGTGTTTCTCTGCCAGTGCCCATCCTTTTACAGGGAAGGGAGGCAGGACAAAGCCAGGGAGCAGCTGATATGGCAAAATAAACAGAAAGCATTGGAAGAGTGGACACGTTGTCCTAGTCAAAATATGACTGAGTTCTTGGAGCATCTGGACAGAGTCCACAGCAGTGGGGGCTGGCATAGGCTAAGCACACTTGAAAACTGTGAAGGTAGTTTTGCCAAGGAAGACAGCGAAGTTGGGTTGGTTAGTTAAGGCAGCTCATGTTAAATCCTCAGGAGTTGCTTTCTTCTCAGTGTAACCTAAATGAATTAATTGAAATATAAGACCTTACCTGTGTGTAAGTGGGCATAAATTGGCACATTGTGTACTGTTTGTAGACTTGCATTCTACTTGCATTGTAGCCTGAGCATTCATCACAATTTAGAAAGGGAATCTGCTGCAGGAGAGTAGGAAGGGAATCTGTCTTCTTCCTAGGTGACAAAGGAATATGTCTATGCAGTTAAAGGTGCTTTCTCCTGAGATGAGAGAGGATCTAAAGTGCATGGAAAATGGAGAAGGAAGGGAGTATATTTCTGTCTTCTTTGGAAGTGTCAGGTTTTGTTTGTGTCAGAGTTTAGAATTTCAGAGAACAGAATCCTCTGAACAAATTCTAGTAACTTTTCTGCTGACTGTCAAAGCCAATTTAATGATTTAAATTCCAGCAGTATGAAGAATAATCATATGGATGAGTTGCCATTTTTGTACACTTAAGGTGAGGAGCTTTTCCTTACAAACCTAGGAACGTTATTGGAGATTTTGTTGTCTTACTGATTTCCACAAATGATCAGATAAGCTAGCTTCGTGTCTGAGCCAGTAATTTAATCTGGTAATTTTGTGATCTTGGGTATTTCTTTTCCTCAGTAACCCTTTCTAATAGGGTTTGACAGTTTGCTCAGCTATATTCTATTCTTATTCTAGATGGAGACAAGAGGAAACAAGAAGCAAAGAAAACTGGTAATGCAGTTAGAGAGACAGTTTCCCACCCTCGTTGGCTGTTGTCAGGGATTGCTTTTGGCAGTCTCATGTTCCTCACCCTGTGGATATTTGGGGAGGTCTCATTAATTTCTAGATGGGCAGTAAGTGGACATCCACATGCAGGTCCAGATCCTAATCCATATGGGTAAGTGAGTTTTTATTATTATTTAAAAAAATAGTAATCAAAAGCCAATGCTGTAGTAGGTGACAAATTAAAACTCAAACAGATGATTGTGTAAGAGCATACAGAGAGTAAAATGGTACAAAGTACTTTGCACAGAGGATTTATAGATTCATTCTTGCTTTCAGATACCTCTGGGCATTGTGTCTATACCAGTAAATCTTAAAATTTTCTAAGACAGAATGATTTTTATTTCAGTAATAAAAAACCTTCATTTGCCACACTGCAGAGCAATTTTTAAGACTGAGGTTCAAGGACTTATGAATGAAATGCATCTGTAATATGCAGTAAATGAATCCAGTAGTTGATTTCAGAGAGGAGATGAAAACACTAGGAAATAGTGTTCGTCAGAGATACACGCTGATAACAAAAAGGGAACAATATTAAAATATATACTTCTCCAGAAGTTTTGGTTAGTAAGAATTTAGTGTTAATGCTGTGTGTTGCTCACCTAGGTTCCAAAATCTAGAAAGAGACTAGATTAGTTATTCTGAGTCAACTACGTGTAGAGGCAGGCAAGGTAGTTATTAATTTGCAATTAGTACACACAAAAGCTACCTAAGATTGATAGTGATGTTAGGTGCTGTGGGATTCCCTATGTGATGTGAAGAAAATACTTCTTTTTGAGTAGATTCCTCTCATTTTCTCTGAGTTCTCATTGCTTTTTATATTCAGTGTTTCAGTGTAGTGTTTCTGCTGCTGAACCTAGCTCATTGCTACATTATGATAAACTGCTATTATTTTGGATTGATGTTTAGGCCCAGTAAAAGGGGGAAAATGTAGCAGGGTGTGAGATAAAGATATTTTTTGATCAAATTGAGCTCTGCTTCAAATAAAAGATGTTATAAAATATCACCAAGCAATCTTGTCTACATGTTTAGAAGCTTCTTTTTCAATGCCAGGTGTTCATAGAATTATATTTATGTATGATTCCCCTTTTTTATCATTTTATTAGAGGTACAGTTCTTTTGGGCCTGGCTCATGGGCTGATGCTTTCATTTTGGAGCTGGTCTTCTGCCACCAGTTTTGCTTGGTTTCTTGTAGGTAGGTGCAAAGCCGGAGCAGAACTTTTGTTTCTATTACCTTATTCCCTTTACTCAAGCCCTCTGACCCTACACCGCTTCTCAGAAAAATCAATTGCTAATCAAAGCATCTATTTCTCTGTTGCTAACTGTCTATGCATGTATCTAACCAGCTAACTAAGGGTGAAATGTCCAGGCCATTGCAGAGCGACACTGTGTCTCTTCAGAAGCCCTTGTTGAGGTTCTTTACCCATGAGCAGCATCTCAGTTCTTTCTGTCTGCATTGTGTATGGCTACATCTAGAGTTATGGGGTTAAGATGACACAAGTCTCTCTGTTCTGCAGGAGACACAATAACTTGTAATTTAATGAGCAGTTCACCTGGAGGCAAGCTCACCTCCTGTCTCCTTAGTTGCCAACATCTCCAGGCAGTAAAATTTTGTGAACATCAAAGCAGTTCTGCTGGAGCAAAGTATTTGGGAATAAGTCTGCATACAGTGGGTCTTGGGTAGTCAGAAGAGAGATTCAAGTGCTGGATCTGGACAGTCATTTTTGTAAGGATGGTATAGCTGTGCTGTGGAGCAAACTACACATAGAGCAAGTAGGAGAAGATGGAAATAATTCTGCTCTTGAACTGTGGGGGGAGGTGTGTTTTGCACATGTCAGCATGGATGGATGCAGCCTTGTTTAATTTGTAGTCCTATCTGCATGAAGTCTAGTGGTATAAATACTATTTAAAAAACATAAATCTGCTTCTTTTTTGTCCTGAGCTAATTGTTTGTAGTTGTTTATATCAAAAAGACAGAACAGTACTTTGTACAAATGTTTCATAATAAATTGGGACATATCAAAATACAGGGAGCAAAGGCAATGATGAATTATGTTTTACTTCTTTCTTATTTGCCTTTTCTTTTGGAGCACTTAAGAGCTGCAAAAAGCAAGAGGCTGTCTTCGGGTATTGGGAATAACTGTCCTAGTGATGCAGTTCTCATGGCTGCAAAGCACAGTTGTATTTCCCAGACTCTCTTTTCTTAGAGCGAATGTGAAAAAGAAGGTGGCAGATAATATACCCGATGGACTTACTTTATTATTTTCTGTCCCTTCACAGGTTTAGCATCTTCAGCTGGTCTCCTTTATTTACACACCTGGAGTGCTGCTGTTGCAGGCAACATCCTTGCTGTCTTTACTATGTGCGTGTGGCCTCAACTGGCTGGCCACTTTGCTAGCTGTCTGCACCCTGGGAAAGCCATGAGTACTGCCATGTTTGCCTACGTTCTTGAATTATTCTTTTGTGTATGGTGTACAGCTTATAAATTTGTACCTGGAGGAATTTATGCCAGAGAAAGCTCCCATCTTCTTTTAGGTACATTTATGACAATGAACAAATACAAATATACTTGCTTTAGCCTCAACCAGATGTTTAAAATGAACCTAGTGTATAAACAGTCTTTTAAATGCTCAGCTGCTGTCTGATTTACTATGGTAAGAGTTTCTATGAGAAAATTAATGAGACTTGCAAAAACTAATCTACTTGTTTCTTTACTGTTAGAAATTGTATAAAATGTGGACAGAAAATGGAATTCAGTTGAGGGAAAATGACAAAGTGAAACAAAGCCTGATAACTCAGTACGCAGCTGAGGAAGAGATCTTTTAATCAATCACCCTAAAAATCTAGCTGCAATCCAGGGTGTGAATGCACGTGTATGCTAGCTGCCTAAGGTAGCTGTATGGTACCTCAGGTAACAATCTAGTTTCTGGAAACTCAAGGGTTTGTGAAAGCTGTGTTACTGGGACTATAACATAATGTCGTGGTTTAAGCCCAGCTGGTAACTCAGCACTATGCAGCTGCTCACTCACTCCCTGTCTTCTTCCTCCCTCTGCTCCCAGCAGGATGGGGAAGAGAATCGAAAGAATGTAACTCCCATGGGTTGAGATAAGAACAGTTCAGTAACTAAGGTATAACACAAACCACTGCTGCTACCACCAATAATAATAATGATAAGGGAAATAACAAGGGAAGAGAATACAACTGCTCACCACCCGCTGACTGATACCCAGCCTGACCCCAGCAGTGATCTCACCCTTCTGGGTAACTGCCCCCAGTTTATATACTGGGCATGACGTGCTGTGGTATGGAATACCTCTTTGGCTAGCCCAGGTCAGGTGTCCTGTCTCTGCTTCCTCCTGGCTTCCCATGCCCCTCGTCCCTGGCAGAGCATGAGACACTGAAGTCCTTAGTCAGAGTAAGCATTACTTAGCAACATCTAAAACCACTGGTGTGTTATCGGCATTGTTCTCAGACTAAAGCAGAAAACACAGTACTACACCAGCTACTAGGAAGGAAAAAAAATAACTCTTACAGCTGAAATCAGGACATGTAACTCAGTGCATTATTTAGCCCTGCTCTGAGAAGCAAAGTGCAGCATCCTGCCAATCTAGCTAGTCTGCATTTGAGACCTGAGCTTCATTCCCATGCAGCTTTGCCTTGTGCTTTGTGGACACACCAGCACGTTTGGAAGAATGTCAGTAAGCTGCAGTGTCACAAATATGCAAACAGGAGAGGAAGAAAAGAAATTGTCAGGTATTTGCCAGTGAGGAAGAACTGAGGTGAGCAAATGCAAAGGTTTTAGCAAAATGATCCCTGAAAGGGATCCCACCTTGAAGTTTGGGAGGTGGAAATGAAACCGACCCTTTGTGGCTTCTTTCCAGAACTGGGTTGTTTTTTTTGTTTGTATTTTAATAGGAACTAATGTGTTTCAGTGGCATATTTCACTAATTACATTTAACAATGCCAAATACTGTCCAGGGCCAAGTCTGTGAGTCTATGACGCATTTTAAGATGTGACACATTATCCTGTATTTTGTTTGAAAAGGATTACTGACTGCTGTGCTTGGCTTGCTGCTCCACATCTCTTTGCAACCACCTTCTGTCACTCCAGTTTCTCACTCTCCATGTGTTTCATACATTACAGCAATCACATGCAGGGTTTCAGTTTGTTATGTTTTGAGGAGAGTTCCCTTACATTTATTGCAGTTTTATTTGTTTTGCAAGCACTCTGGGGGGCTGTAGAAACAGTTGTCTCAATTTAACTTTGTGTTGAAGCTATATGAAGAAAGCATGTAGTAGAGGAGTGTTAAATGCTTTCTTGAGTAATACCTTGTCAAAAGAGTAGCTGTTACGTGAAATCCCTTTCTGACACTTCCTTTCACAGACGCACGTGATTAATTCACCTGTCATGATCACTGGATAGTAACACATAGATGGCACTTTCTCTTTGGTAAAATGAAAACTGTGAACTGAACCTGTTCTGTGGCTGGCAAAATCTTGGAGCAGATTCTCCTGGAAGGCATGCTAAGGCACATGAAAATCAACAAGGTGCTTGGTGACAGCCAGCATGGCTTCACTAAGGGGAAATCCTGCCTGACCAGCTTGGTGGCCTTCTATGATGGGGCTACAGAACTGATGGACAGGGGTAGAGCAGTTGATGTCATCTACCTGGACTTGTGCAAAGCATTTGACACTGTCCCACATGACATCCTTGCCTCTAAATTGGACAGACATCAATTTGATGGATGGACCACTCGGTGGATAAAGAACTGACTGGATGGCAGCACACAAAGAGTTGTGGTCAATGGCTCAATGTCCTGCTGGAGACCAGTAACAAGTGGTGTCCCTCAGGGATCGGTGTTGGGACTGGTCTTGTTCAACATCTTTGTCAGTGACATGGACAGTGGGATTGAGTGCGCCCTCAGCAAGTTTGCCGATGACACCAAGCTGTGTGGTTCGGTTGATATGCTGGAGGGAAGGAATGCCATCCAGAGGGACCTTGACACACTTGTGAGGTGGGCTGATGCCAATCTCATGAGGTTTAACCATGCCAAGTGCAAGGTCCTGCACCTGGGTCGGAGCAATCCCAGGCACAGCTACAGGTTGGGCAGGGAAGAGATTCAGAGCAGCCCTGTGGAGAAGGACTTGGGGGTGTTGGTTGATGAGAAAATGTACATGAGCCAGCTTCAGTGTGCGCTCGCAGCCCAGAAAGCCAACTGTATCCTGGGCTGCATCAAGAGGAGTGTGACCAGCAGGTCGAAGGAGGTGATCCTGCCCCTCTACTCTGCTCTCCTGAGACCTCACCTGGAGTATTGTGTGCAGTTCTGGTGTCCTCAACATCAAAAGGACATGGAACTGTTGGAACAAGTCCAGAGGAGGGCCACGAGGATGATCAAGGGGCTGGAGCACCTCCTGTATGAAGATAGGCTGAGAAAGTTGGGGCTGTTCAGCCTGGAGAAGAGAAGGCTGCGTGGAGACCTCACAGCAGCCTTCCAGTATCTGAAGGGGGCCTATAGGGATGCTGGGGAGGGATTCTTCATTAGGGACTGTAGTGACAGGACAAGGGGTAATGGGTTAAAACTTAAACAGGGGAAGTTTAGATTGGATATAAGAAGGGAATTCTTTCCTGTGAGGGTGGTGAGGCACTGGAACGGGTTGCCCAGGGAGGTTGTGAACCCTCCATCCCTGGCAGCATTCAAGGCCAGGCTGGACAGAGCCTTGAGTGACATGATTTAGTGTGAGGTGTCCCTGCCCACGGCAGGGGGGTTGGAACTAGATGATCTTAAGGTCCTTTCCAACCCTAACTATTCTATGATTCTATGATTCTGTGAACCCATCTCAGCTGATGGCACCACATGAGCTTATATTGCATCTGAGAATCCAGTTTCTGTCTTTCTAATGCCATCCTATTGTTTATCAAAGATTTGCAGATTATACCATGAAATTGTGTATTTGTTGCTGCACTTCTACTCTTGCAGCTTGGTGTTCTGGCAAACTGCTTGTTTTCTTCTGGTTTCTTTCAGGTGCAAGTGCTATTTCTTGCTTTCTCCTCCTGTCCAATATCCTGGCTTTCTCTTGCCGCAGTTTGGGTAGGGAACTGCTCCAGGAAAAGTGGCAATGAAAGTAAGATTATTATATTAAAAATTTCTGTGCTGCTTCACTGTGATGTAACATAATTCTGAGGGGTCAGATCCCTGCTCTTCCATCAACTTCAATGGCTGGAATCAGTGTGCCTTTGAGAAAGGACTGGTGTGTGCCACCTTCTTCATTGCACTAGACCCAGCTTCCTGGTTTGCAGGCTTTCACTACTACTCATGTAACAAGTAAGGGCAATAAGAAAATACTGCGTAATGGTTATTTCACCTTCAGCTATAACTCTGAAAAAAACAGAGCTTCTATAGATAATTAACTATTCCACAAAGATATTAGGGACGTATACCTTCTCCAGCAGAGCTCTTATCCAATTCATTATGCTCCCACATTTTCTGTGGAGCTAACTGGATTCTTTAGCTCATAAAGGATGGGAAAAGAGCTTGTACTGTTAGTCTGAGCTACCTTTTCAATTAAAAGATACCATCAAAGTGCCTTGCAACAGGTAATGCACTGAAGTTGCTCACTAGCTTTTGAAATATATCTGTAGCTGTGTTTAATTGTCTGTTTTTAAAAAGCACAGCTGCTTCTGTTGGCTCTGGAGCACAAAAATAGAAGATGCTGCCATGTTAAATTGGCCTCCCAACCTGCTGCAGTCAGCTTAACACTGTTTTAGATCAAACTGTTGAGCAATTACTGTTGTGGTTCTGATTTAAAAATGCATTATTTGTTTCTTTGTGAGAGAGCAGTTAATTTGAAAAGATAACAGACGCCTACAATCAACAGTGTATTTTCTTCATTAAGCTGTTATTTTAAGTTTCTGTAATGTGTAGGTGTAATTTCATTGGTCTTGCCCAGGTTAATTCCAGTAAACTTTGAAAGCACTGGGCTGAGCTGAGAGTTGTAGCCATCAGTAGGGTCCTGAAAGCATTTTAGTATAATCTATCTACCATGTTCTAGCCTTTTTGACATAATACCCCAGAACTGTACTGCAGATCAGTCTTTGCTTGAGAGTGCTGGGTAAGCGTGCTTGACGTTCTGTGGAAGCTGGTGTTAGGATACACAAAGGTAGGGAGGTCTGCTGAAAGATTCTCTGCTTTGCCCCAGATGAAAGGATTTAAATGTTTTTGTTTTTATTGTTCTGTCAATTGGTACGTGAATGGAAGAAAGGAAAACATGGCTTTAATCAGATATTTCACCAACAGAAGAACCCTAATGTGCAGTAGTGAGACCCAGCCTTAGTAGCAGCTTATTTTGGGGGGCAAAAAAGTGAATAACCCCAAACAATGTAATTTTGAAGTTAATTATTTTTGTGTGAAACAGGTGTTCAGTAGCATTTAAAATCATCTTTTAGCTTTGATTTCTTACTCCAGTACTATTACTTTGAAATATTTTTTGGAAATACTTATCATTAGTGGCATGTTTAATGCCACTACCTCATTTTGCTGGAAACAGTGCTCCTGTCAACAAGTACAACAATGTAAATTAAACGTCTTTGAAGTGCTGCAGGCATAGCTGAGGTGAATGTTGTGACAATGATAAGCAGAATCTCCCTCAGCCTCATATTGCCTGCATTATTGCACTGGATGTGGCATTTATCTGCATTTGTGCATTGAATTGTCTTTGTTGTTGGAGTCATGAATTTGAATGTAATGCAACAGCTGGAAGTTTGAAAGTGGGTCACTTATGACACATTTTTAGTATGTTAAAGCTCTATGACAAAACTGATGACTTATATTTTTACAGGGTTTATAATGTTATGTATTGGGATAGACTTTCTAACAGTACCCAAGAAAGACCTCAGCTCTATCTTTGAAGTGAAAAGCAACCAAAAGCCACTATTCAGAAAGAGTAAAACCTTTATTAAAATATGTGAGTATGATTTTACTTCCTTTCTTCCATGACTCTTAAATTGATTTATTACATGTGTATACAAAAGATAAGAATGATTTTTCAGCCCACTCGGTATATTGACTTTGAAGTAGATGGAAAGGAAAAAATTGGTAACCATTAGGGCATGCTATAACCCTACAAAGATCAGGATACTCATTATTATAATGTATTCTACAGTAGGTATCATTTTTACATAAATGTTCCAAGGAGTTTTGGTACATTTTATCTGCTCATCCTGGTATGTTTTGAAGAATGTAATTATATCTGCACACAAAGAGACCTCTGCACGCATAGAGGTACTCTTAAGTACACTATTTTGGAATGGTATTATTACTGGCATATGTGGAAATTTAAATATATACATTTCCCATTCTATGAATAATACACCTAAGAATGACAGTGCAATAATAATGTTATTTTCCCTTGGTTTAAAAGTAGCTTTTCTGTTGTTTTGCTGTTTCCAGTATTGTGGCTGTTTGTTGGTGTCGGTTTGCTAGGATTGGGTCTGCGTTACAAAACTTACCAGAAGAAGCTGGGCCAAGGGGTGAGTCGTGTGTTTGTGAAAATGGCAAATTTCAAATATACAGTAAAATGTGCATATGATACGTTAGGTGCTGAAGAAGTCTTTATACCAGTATTTGAGTATTCAACAAAACTAAAGCAGAAATGAAGATGTAAAAAGTATAGTTTTTAAATTCATGTTGAGCACAGAAATGCCTGGGCCTCTGGAGGTTCGTAGTGCTACAAAAGACGAAAATACTCTGAAAACCAGAGATACTTGCCACATGTTCAATTTGAATGTTACTTTTATAAATGAGTTTATGTGAATTATATTCAAAACTTGACTGGACCATACTGTTAGCAGCCTGATCTTATATCAGTGAAGTTTGAACAGATAACCTGCTGAGGTTCCTTCCAGCTGAAGGAATTCTATGCTTCTATATTTATACGCATAACTCTGAATTTAACTTCTCTGAGAAGATGTTAGACTTAGATTAGACTTAGACTACTTGTGGAACTTGGATAAAAATAGGAAGATTCCAGATTTTTTGTCTAATATAAATGAGGCATTGAAATGATAGTGACAATTGCTTAATGACCACAAAGTTTAGTCCAAGTGTGTTGCTTGCCTATTCAGTAATTTAAATTTAAAATTAGAGCTGGTTTGATCAGATATAACTTAATGTGTTTCCATTCTATGATTTAATTCATTACCAGAATAAAATTGAATTTTTGATGCAGTTGGTTGCAATTATGAATTAGACTTTTTTTTTCCTTTTGATAGCAATTTAGAAATAGCCTTTTGAAACTTGCTCTTGACATGTATTCCTGTGAGTAATGTTTCTGTTAGGTAAGTCACTGGTGATGAATGGAGGAAAAGATGCAGAAAAGGTGATGAGAGCTAAGTAGAAATTGTGTGTGGATGCACCTGTCTGCACATACATATTCATATATATGCACACAGACATACAGTTGGCTTTCTTCCTAGAACTCATTTGTGTTTGTAGTAGCTTTATAATGTGGAAAAAAAACCCAGGTAGTTCCTCTTAAAAAGATGAAAAGATTGGTATTCTCTTTCATGTTCATTTATTACTGTTAGTTGCATAAATTAATTTTTACTCTTGTTAGAGCAGTCTTTTCGCAAAAATACCTATTTTTTTTGGTAATTCTGATAGCTTTATTTGGAAAATATATTGGTTAAAACATCCCTTATTGTGTGTCTTTTAGGGCATGATGTAGCTGATGTTGCTGACTGCAAAGGTATAATACATTAAAGTCAAACTGCACTTGACTTCTTTTTCATTTTATTTTTTGAGGTTCCCAAAAGAGACTTCTCTGCTATGATCTGGCCTTTTAGATTTGCATATAACAATGAAGGATGGTCTAATTTGGAAGGATCAGCTGATCTGCTTAATCAGACAGGTAACCTTTTTTCTTCCATTTCATTTCTATATGAGAGGGTTCATCTGAAGAGGCAGAAGCAAGAACACCTGCTGGGTAACTGGGTCTTGCATTATCTCAATAATCTGTCTAGTTTCTTCCTTCTGTGCTACTCCAGTACAATCACTTCTTTTAAAAAATTTGTTTGCAAAGGTGATAAATTTTTAAACTGTACTTTAAATAGGTTTCTGGTTGGAGGAAATACTTTGTTATTTATTTGGATTTTTTCTTATATTGCTGATGAGTTACTTGTCTATAGAGAAATTCTTTGCATAAATGAAATAATGATAAATGTCCTTTTAGATGAAATACAATGTCTGAGAACTTCTCTGTGTTTGGTTTTGGGTTCGTTTTTTTTTTTTTCCTGATGTGAAGCATTACATAATTCCTAAAGGCTCTGAAATTAGTATGTCCTAAATAAGGTACATTCATGCATTCAGAGTTAAGCTGGAGATTCTTAAACAATTTGTTTGCTAAAGTAGATTAACTGATTTTGAGAGCCACAGAGAAAAGAGTGGCTAACTCCAGCATAGAGGTTATTTTTAAAGGTGTGGTGGTGTGCATTCGTTGGGCTCATCTTCTCTCTGTTGGCTTGGAATAGTGAAGATGCAACATGTAATGGCTCGTGCCTACCCTGAAGAAAACTAACATCAACCCCATTCAGTGGTCTCAGGCATTGTTTCTGTGGCCAACTTGTATGCATGCTAACAATGTAGAAGCAGAAGGCCACGTAGCTCTTGCTGTATCCTCCAGCTAAAATATAGGGGAACCTCTCTTATTCCCCTGACAAAACCACACCTCAGCATGTAAACAGGGAGGGACCACAGTGTCCTGAGCAAAGCAAGGTGGCTGCAGATGGCAAACAGTTCTCTAGAGCTGGGAACCCTTCTGTTACCCTGCTAGCGGGCTGAAGGCAGGTTGCTATGGGCTGACTAACTGGTTTGGCAGCAGACCCTGCTCCCTCTTCACAGGACCCTTTGGAGCAGGATGGGATTTGGTAGATGAAGGTAAGTGCAGCTGTGCTGTGTATTGCTTGTTCATCAAGTTGAAAGCAGTAGACTTGCTATTGCTTGTTCATCAAGTTGAAAGCAGTAGACTTGCTACTGGGCTGTTAATCTGTTTGTGCACATGATGTCTAATGCTTTTGAAATGGTCTGCACTAGGTATGTGTAGGCCAGCTGTACTGTGCTTCTGGTTATGCACCAGGGAGGACCTGTGGCAACCGCACATTAAGTGTTGTTCTGTCAGGGGTTGTGTGGCCTACAGTGACCAAATGTTTGGGCACGACTTTGTTGCCAGCATTAAAATTTGCCCTGATTGACTCCTGGAGGGCTTGTGTCTACCCCCATGTAATCAAAAGGGAAATGACAACATTATGTAGTCATTTATAAGTCACATTTATAGATCACAGTTATAAATCTAGAAATATATTTTTTTTCTTCCCCATTTTAGATGCTGATTTTATCACTATTATAGAGAGTGATGCCTCCAAACCATTCATTGGGAACAATGATCCAACAATGTGGCTGGGAGAAAGACTAGGATTTTACACAGACTTTGGTCCAAGCACAAGAGATCACACTTGGGGGTGAGTCATCTTTCCATGCAGTGACACAAAATAACTGTAAATACACAACCCAATACTAACTCCACTAAAACATGGGCAAAGAATAATTAGAATAATAATCACCATAATTACTTGTTGGAGGTTGTCTTTAAGAGCAATCTTTGATTCCTTATCATTACAATGCAATGCAATGCAATGCAACGATCAGGTTTTGGTGCCTGCACCTATAAGCTACTTTGGCTTTGGTGATGCAGAGAATGGCATCCTGCTCCTTAATGTACAGATTTGGAAGTTTGGCATTCGAAGTACTGTATCTGATTCCCTTTTCTCATTATTCTGTTTTGTGCTATGAGAACTTTAGATTTCAGACTTAAAAATGTGATAGCAGTTGGAAAATCTAACTGCAACCTGGAGTTCTTAGAAATTTTGAATTCATTAAACCCACCTTGGGCTGTATAGTGGGAAATGGACATATAAATGCACATATCTATTTGACCAGTATTTTTGTGTCTGATTTTACTTTAATGCTTGACCAACTACCAGTTGCATATCTTTGCAGTCTGGAAAATAGCAGCCTATGAAGTGTTTTTTTTTGCAGGGGGATATGCATCTGTGGCAGATGAAACTTCCCAGTGATGATGGACTGCTATTTAAATTTTTCCATATATGAGAGGAATTTAGTAACTTTCCTCTTCCAGAGCCTGTGTCTTTTAAGTGATGCAGAATGGGTTTGTGAACAACAACAAAGTAACTGTTTCCTTCTTCTCATGTAGGATTATGGCGCTATCACGGTATCCAATTGTAAAATCTACCCATCACCTCCTTCCATCTCCAGAGGGAGAGATTGCACCCGCCATCTCCATGACTGTCAACTTCACAGGGAAACTGGTTGATTTTGTTGTCGCCCACTTTGGAAATGAAGAGTGAGTATTTTATTTGTTGTTACATGTCATGCAAAATCGTGTAACATAATGGTCATTTGTGAACTTCTGCGATTTATTTTGCACCCTTTAATATCTGCTGCTGTAATGCTGATTCTAACGAGGCATATTGGAGTAAATACTCTGGTACAGCTATTGGTTTAAATTTTGAAGCATTTTTTAAAAGGCTCAGTTTGTCATGGAAAACTCAGCTGAGCCCAATATCTGAGTTACTAGAGGTAAAAAAATGTAGTTATGCAAAACCACGAGAAACAGGGCTACAGATACATCTAAGTGCAGGATAGCATCCTTACGACTTCTTGCATGTGGAATAGATCTATTATGTACCACAGTGAGTGCACAGAGATAGCATTAATGGCCAACTGATGTTTATTAAAATAAAAAGTAACAATTCTGAAACCTCCAAGAAAGGACAGTGTTGAAACAGCCACAAAAATATCCATTCAGTGTCCTTCTGACTATATGAAACTGGAAATAAGAAATCTGATCTCTGGATTCTTAAAGGAAGAATTATACCAGTAACTAAAATATAGGATGAGAAAGATTAAGGTATATATTTTAGTTCTTTACTTTAAAACATTATCTTGATAACTTGTGTGTAATGAATATTATTAATAAGGGGTAGCTTTGTGGTGCTCCAAGTAGCTGTTTCTGTTTTATTTGCTGCAATACCTAATATGTTTGTGGTTATGTAGTAAGATTTGGGCTTTTCAAAATATTTATTATAATTCATGGAGAAGCAAATTTATGGATTGGATGCAGAATATAATATACAAAGCTGCTATTCAGAAAGCAGTGGAGTTCTCATTATCCCATACTGAGCTTCCCTATTTCCTTCACATGCGTAGAAGCTGTGCTCCGAGCATACAAATCATTTGTAGTTTTCCCTTTTATTAAACACATATAGTTGTCAGAAACTACTCCAGTCTGAACACAAGAAAGGAATTTTCTGTGCCTCACACAGATGGTTAGGCTTGCCTCCCTGAGAAACTCTTTGTCAAAGTAGGAGAAAATAGCAGTGTATTCCCCCCTCACAGTGAGATGAGATAAAAATGAAGGAGAAAATAGGAGGAGACACATGGGAAATGAGTACAAATTTGATTTTGTTTTGAGGTGAATGAATTTGTAATTAAATGGCACACATAACTGCTTGTTTTTCATCTTTTTTCATCTGCTGCTTAGGATGACATAAACTATAGAATACTGGATAAGTAGGGATTTCTTTTAACACTGTTTTTAAAACATGGGAATATAACAATGTGTTGTGTCATTTAAAAGAACCTGTCTTCTGCAGAAGTGTAATTCTGGAAAGAGCAGCTAGCTCACCTGGCAACTTCACATATACGAGGCTTCTATTCCAGTGGTTTGGAGTTTTCATCTCCTGTTTGTGTGCTCTTTCTTCTTAATGCATTTACTTCGTCAGAAGTACTGCTATTTAGAAAGCATAGCGGCATTTAAATTCTTGTCCCCTTTTAGGACTACAGATTCCAAAATCAGTTCCCTATCTCACTGGTATTTGGCCCAGTCTAGCAAAATACAGAAGAGACTATGCTTTATACAACTGAAGTTATTAACATGAAGAATCACAGAAGGAGAAACCCCTTACATTATTTTATGACAAATCTGAGGACAGGGTATGGGATCCAGTGCAGTATTTTACCAGGCTTCACTTATGCTATCACTTCTGGTCATATTGGAACTGTTGCGTAAATCTTGTTAAAGAGTACCTGCCAAATGTTGTTAAGTAGTGTTAATGGGATGACATAGATTTTAAGTCACATTTCATAAATTACGTGACCCAGACATTAAGACTATATTTACCATATGTCCATCTTGTTAGCATGTGAGCTCTTTGTTACGCACCACACTGTGCTAGCGCAGCTGAATTTCAAGTGCAGGCAGAGATAGCCTCAGATAACCGAAGCGCTTACATTCACATTTCCTAGTGATGAGATCAGTATTAAAAACAAAACAGTAAGAGAAAAAGTTGTTCCTATGGTGGTTAGAAAGAGAACCCTAATTACATCTACCACGACCATCTGGCTTTTATTGAGCACAGTGATCATTTTGAATCACTGAGCATTTTGTAAACTTGCATACTCTCTAATACTGAGCAATAAAAAGGGTACCAGATTCGTTTGTGGTTCACTATGTTATAGCACAAAGATTCTGAGCTAAAATGTATATATGTTTAAGTCTTTCCCATTTCTTTCAGGGAGGACTTAGACAGGAAACTCCAGGCTATAGCTGTTTCAAATATATTGAAGACTAGCTCTAAGCAAGTAGTATTCCTAGGATACATCACTTCAGCTCCTGGATCCAGAGATTATACTGAATTAATAGAAAATGGAAATGTCCAGGTAAGGTAAAAGTACTGATTCTTTTAGCAGTTGGAGATAATACATATTTGAAACAGTCTAATATTTCAAACTGGTAACTTAGAAATAGGCATAAGGGAAAATACATGCACATTTTCAAACACCATCTTCAGCTACCTCATGGTATGTTATAGAGAAGGTGAAGTTATACAGTGAAAGAACAAGAAACACTGGACAGCAGTTGCCAGAAGAGAAATGCCGGTTGGATAGCAGAAGACCAAAAATAAAGGATCACAATTATTTAGGGTTGTTAAGCAGTAGAACAGAGGCCTAGAGAAGTTGTGAAATCTCCATCCTTGGAGATACTCAAAAGTGGGCTGCATAAGACCCTGAGCAACCTGCTTGAAGTTACTTTGAGCATGGGGCTGGGTGTGGGTGACCTCCAGACATCCCTTCCAACCTCTAATTCTGTGATTCTTTTGTTTTAAAACTGAGTTCTGCAGTTTGGTTTTCTGACAGGAGATGTCAAAAAGCTGTCTGATTTGTTTGTGTCCAACAGTGGGGTTTCTTCTTTCTACCTTATTTCAATATTTAAAGCAAAACATTTTTTCTGCAGCATGTTTATACATTGGTTTGTTACTGATTCAAATGCTAACCTTGAGGAAAGCTTACCTTATTTGTTGGACTTTTTTCACCCTTTTCACTTGTAGGATATTGACAGTACAGATCATGACAGATGGTGTAGCTATATTATGTATCGAGGAGTAATAAGGTATGTTAAAGTGGATCGTTTATTCACTGGTTTTAATTATTTTGATGACTGTCAGTTTTACACCCTTCTGTAGGTAACTGTGGAAGAGTCTTGCATCCCTAAACAATGATGTATGGGCAGTGAGGTATATCATAAAGAAATGTGGAACATCGATCTGAGGATGGATGATTGTATTTCTGAACATAATTTACAAAGACAGTATTACAGGTTTCATCCTTCTGTGTCAAAAGCCTTCAGATCTAATCTGCTTTGCTAACATAAAACTACTTTTTTTCCAAAGGTCTGTCTTTGCAGTATCATTCTAAAATGTGAAGGCTAAGCCCTAATTTGTATGGGACACAGAAGACATGAGTTTTGAACTATGATTGTAGGGTTTCATGAAGCAAAATGCTGATATAATACAGCCAAGCTGTATGCTGGAATTAGTGGAAACTTTAAGCCCATATTGAAGCACTTTCTTCTGCTGGAACCTGTTCACTCTGTGACTTTTTATATCAGGTTGCTTGTAAATCATTCCCTTAGTGTTGTATGTACCAGAATGGAATTCAGCTTAAACTGTGCAAATTCTGTGGTCTTCACAGGAGTAAACCCAGTAAACTACATAGCTGTCTTATGTAACAGTACTTAAGTAACAGAGGTTTTGGGTGTTTTTTTTTAAAGGCAACAAAACCCCCTTTTGCAGTCTAATTTTTCTCATTGCTCATTCCATTGATGCTTGAGTTCCTTTCTTGAATTTCAAAATCTCTTCAGTGAAAAAAGCTGATGTGCTTCTGCCAGGATGGATAAACTAAAACTACTGAATTTAAAAATAAGTTTATAGATGTTAAACTTTTTCTGTTGTCACTTAGGTTTTCTTGTTTTTTCTACTCACAACATTGTATTATGATGCTTGTGCTTATATAGCACTCTTAAGTTTTTTGAAGTGAGGTTTACAGAAATGGAAAGTTATGTTGATAGGTTAAATAGTAACTCTTGAGAAAAAGAGACATGCATTAAGAATGTGGTGAAACTGCCTTGAGTTATTTTTTCAAACTAACTCTTCTGGTATCTGATAGGTTGGGCTATGCCCGCATATCTCACGCTGGTTTAAGTGATTCAGAAGTCCAGATGGCCAAATTTAGGATCCCAGATCACTTGGATAGCTATGTTGACAATGACAGAATCATCACTGATCCTAGCCAAGTTCCTGAGGACATCCATTTCAATCCCAGGTCAGTGTATCTCATAATAAATTAATATGTGACATCTTGTAACTTATAGTGGGAGGCACTGATCAGTACCAAACTAAGCAGAAGATTAGGAGGCAAGAACTTCTGATATATAATTCCATTTTTTCTACTGACCTGGCTTATACCTTGGGAAAATCAGCCTGCTGTGTTGTAGCATAAATTGAAGGTAGTGCTTATTTCACCCAGATGATTAATTTGTGAGACTGTTTGACAGGCATATTTGCCAAGTGAAGTGGTGACTCATTTTATAGATGATGAGAGATCCATGTTTCTCAGCAGTTTTGAGGATTGGGGTCTTTATGTATTGTTAGTTAGAACACAAAATACAATATATACATTAAATATTCTTTGTATAAGCATTTTAAAACATACTGTATAACTGGAGTTATGAAAATTAAAGAGGCAGTATGTTGCATATGTCAAGAAGGAAAAAGGGTTAGATTTTTATATTTAAAGTTATTTATTTCTAGAATGGTGTCACTTTTCCACTGACATTGCATAAGGAACAGAAATAGAGAGAAAGGTATTCTACACTGAACGTCAGTGGAAGAATTAAGTCTGAAATAGATGTTGCTGCAGATAGACAATTTCCAGCAATGCTGTATTTACTACTTCTAACACGCCTAATACAGGATATTTCTTCTATGTACCTAAGAGTTGAGCTTACTTACTTTTTGTTTATCACTAGCTTCCCGTCTAACCAGGAGTTTGACCAGTCTTTTCCACATGATGAAACTTGCCTGAAGTTAGCGTTCACATTCAGATTTTTTCTCAGCTGATTTCAGCACAGAATATTTTTCTTGTCTTTATTTTTTACGTGTGCCGATAAGCAGAAAATTTATACCCTTTAGGAATTTGGATACTCTGGGGAGTTAAATTATACCTCCACTGAATTCAGTAGAAAAACTGACTTCAAAGAGCATGAGGTTTAACTAGATAAATGCACCACACCTTTGTCAGCTGGAGTTCCAATTATAGAGTGTCTATGGCATTAATCCAATCAGTGTAATTAAATGTATCCATTATACTCAAAGACCTCTTGTTAGATAGCATAAGTACATCGTGATTTATATGTAAGTAGGGTTGTGGCCTGTTTCTGAGATAAGCTATCTAGAACATTCAGAGGAGTAATAATTATACTATAGGAAGTGTGTGATTTAATTGCATGGGTTAAATCATGTGGTAATGGTTTTGCTTTGTTCAATATTTTTTGTAGGTTTGGATCTTATAAAGATGGACATAATTATGAACATATTCATCACTTTCATATGAGCACTCCTAAATATTTTAAACAGATAAATTAGAATGAGAAAGTAATACATCACTAGGACCAACAAAAAAGGTTTGTTGTTTGAAACTGAATTGGCAGCCAAAAAGACCACATTGTTAAGGATGAGCAACTCCCATGCTGCATAATACTGTGAATGTCTGTGTAATAGTTGGTGACTCTTTAATGAGCTGTCATTGCCGTGAGAGAGGGAAGACGCATGCATTTTGATAAACTGGTGTCTACCTGGGCCAGATACCTGCTTTGTATCCAGCAAAGCAAGGGTGAGAACTTGCTTTGGCAATAACTTCTACTTTTATGAAGGTATCCTATATTGTGCTGTTTCAGAGCTGAATGTATCTATCCGCTATTCTTTACGGTCCAGGTGTAACCCCTTTCCTGGGAGCTCATTGGAAGAACCATGAGCGAGGAATTTCAGCTGACTTCCATGCTTTTTTGATGACTGAGGCAAAGCAAAATAATGTGGTAGTGTAGGTAACCTGTCAGTATGTGCTGCATTTTGTAGTCTGTTGTTACTGCAGTAACAAGCTTGGCCTTAGTTTTTGCCAAAACAAGAGTGGGACTAGCGTGGTTTTTAACTGGGAGATGTGCAGTTCCTATGTGTTTGAGGTGTGTGCATTTTTTACTTACTGAAACAGTGTTTACATCTGCTGCTATTCCCCATTTTATTCTTAAATTAGTCTTACTAGAACAGATGCGAATCATTGATGTTCATACTATTGGAGAAAAGAAAAGGTGGTGACTTTTCCAGACTTCCTTTTTTTTTTTTTTTTTTAACAGGGCATTAGACACTGCAATGCTTTTACAAAAGGAAGAGTAAAGTACCTCCAAATAATTATTGTTATGAGACACTCATGAGAACACACTGCAGGAGAGCTAAAAGCAAGCATGCTCAACGTGACAAGGTTTCTGAGAAGAAAGTTGATTGTATTTTTTTATATGTACAAATAAATAAAACAAAACAGCATTGTCCTTTGCTAGCACTATGCTTTAGTGGGATTATATAGAAGTGAGGCTTTTTTATGACCTAGGCAGTGAGTTACCTACTATGTAACACGCATGACTGTTAAGAAGTGTTTTCTGGGAGTCTCTTGGCAATGTCTTTTACATCCTTCAGGATATGTGCGAAGTTTCCCTTATGCAAAGAGAAGATCTTCAGTGTTGTTCAAAGGAAGTTTCATGCTTGTGAGAAACATGTCAGATGATTTATGTAAATGACCCTCTCAACTTGAAAGCCACATTTGTGATGCTGGTATTTAGTACTGTGTGTCTTTGCAGTAATATCTAAACATACTGTAACTGAAAGGAATAGGACACGTTGCAGGAAAGAGGGTGGGTTTTTTTTCTCCCTCTAATTCTTCACCATGTGCTTTTGAGAACAGCTTGAGCATACTTAATTTTACTGTTTCTCTATGTAAGGAAATACAAGATGTGCCTTTACCCAGGGTTTCTTGTTCTATGGAGTCAGGTAACTGCTGCCATCACCAAGCTTGTCCCTTTATCCTGGTCACCCATCATTTTGCTTCCTTGTTTTTAGAACTGTGTTTCTGAGAGTTGAACACTTCACTGATCTTTGTGGGCAGAGAATAGTTGAAAGGCACTTGAGGAATACACAGTTTCATCTTAAATGGTATTGGAAAGCCTGACTTTGTTAGAATTAACCAGCCATTGTTGGACTCATTTACTTCTCACCTAGAGGTGCTGTTTATCTTTACAAGCCAAAGGAAGTGTATTTAAATTTAGATATACTTTAGGTAGGATTTGAAATCCTCTGACCTTGTTCTCTGCATGAATCTCCAGCAGAGCAGGATAAATTAAGTTTTGGTGTGATGGGATTGACTTTCTTGCGCTTTCAGCAGTTCTCTTATGCAAACAGCAGTAGCTCCTATCCTGCTTCCTCCCAGCCTGCAACAGCAGATGGCACTGGCACTGGTACCAGCATCGCACAGAGGCTCTTCAGTAGCCTCACTTCTATGCAGTATACTCTTGTGCTAGCTCTGATGTGTGGCCAGCCACAGGTTTGCCTTTCCATAAACCATACAAAATATACCATCATCTTGCCACATTACTTAACGTTCTCCACAGGCTGACTCTACGAATAGCTTGTAATGTGAGCAGTTTATTTGTGTGAGATGCAGGAAATGATACTCATAAAAAGACTGAAAATCGCTTAATTTTTTTAACCATTAAAAAATGGAATCAGGATATTTTTCAAGAAGTCAGACACCAAAGCGTGACTTGCGTAACAGGTGAGACTATATGTCATCTCTGTGTGTAATGTCCAAAGCCTGTGAGCATACTTGGATAGATTTTCACACGATTTAGAAATGTTCAGCCTATTAGAAATGTTCATGTAGACACTGACAAAATCTAAAGTTGGGGTGTTCTCTTCTGAGTATCTTGTGTAATTTAGTATTGGTGGATCTGTTCCTTATAATGCCTAATACCAGGCAAGCTAATATTTATGCAAGTGTAAGGAGTAGCAAGTATCTGTTGACATTTGCATTATTTTATTAGAATTACTAAGAAAAGCTATGACCATGAACTGTTTGTATACTGCTTTTACTACTGTGGTTAGAACTGGGAAGCTAAAACTACTACACTTTCTTTGTCCTTGAATCTGCACACTGATTTAATCCTCTGTACCTGACTGGTTTAGAAAAATGTGCAGTACATCTCTCAGTTGCAATCACTATGTTTCAAACTATGAAAGAAATGTGCTAGAACAGGTCCTGCTGCAGGGGTGTGTGACTAATCTTGCTCTTTTCTAATTGTACTTTCTTCATGTCAGCTTTCATAAGACACTATGTTATGAAAGAAAAGGTTTGTGAATGTCTTCATGCATTCATGAAAATATGAATATGTAAAATAAATAGACATTATTTTCTAAAGGTTTGAATTTTTGTGGCAAGTAAAAGGTCTAGACTAAGAATATCTGAGTTCTAAATAATATGTATTCTGCTGTATTCCTAATTCTGCCTGTCTGATGTTCTGTGCAGGTCAGTTAAAGTTTCTAGGAATATACAGGAAGAGACAGCAGTACATCAGGAGCCTACCAGTGGGTACCTGAGAACAAGAAAGATGGACGCTAGGTAACATGTAAGAGAGGAACTTCTGAGACTAATGGTACTGGGTTCTTCAGCGAGGCGGAGACTCAAATCTCCTCTTACATATGCTCCTACTCTGGGGCCTCATGTGAGGCATTTCTATGTGTAGCGTAAGCTTGGCTTCAGGAGCTGTGGCTCTGGTGTTGTCACAGAGCTCTCTGAAACCTGGGAGCTGCAGTTCAAACCTCTGGGGCTGAGAAGGACCTAAAATTGTTATTTCCCATTTTCCAACAGGGTGTAAGAGCACCAAGTTTATTACTAAAGTTGGGGATACCCTTCGGGTTTTGACTGGAGTTGATGTTACTGGAACAAGCTGGGTGCAGCTTCAGTGTGCAGGTGACTAGCTCCCATGCTCTCACTGAAACAGAGTACTGAAGATGTCCAGAGTCCTCTGCTGACAGGGAAGAAGCTTTGTGCCCCCAAAGGTGCTGGTTGTCTTGATCCGTCTCCATGGTTCAGGCAGAAATTCTGAATGCTCCCTGACATAGCTTCCCAATTAGGAATTAAGCAGACTTTTTTTTTTAATTTCAGACTGAAGCTGAAACCCCTATAAATCTAGTTTAAGGATTTAAATATGGGCTAACAGTCTTATGTATGTAAAATTACATTTGTTTGCAGGATGTTACAGAAGGACCTTTGGGGTCAAAATCATATGTCTGGGGCAAGTATAACAGAACAAATGTTTCTACTTAAACGAGGAGCATAGAATGAGTCCACGGGACAGGGCAGTTAAAACGAGCTGAATTGCTGAAGGAGCAGTGGAGTTTATAGAATCTGCAGCTGCTGCTTTCTGCCACCTGAGGTCGTCTTTTATCCCTGATCAGCGCTGGTCTGCTGACACTGCAAGAATAAGGCAAAGTTTAGGTGCTTCATTGTAACTTTGAGGGTGAAAAATCCTTTCAGAAGCATTACTTTCTCATATCTGCAAATGGTTTATGACTGCGATTGTTGGGCTTCTGGTAGACAATTTGTTTCTTTTCTTACAATGCCCTGTACTGTGCTTTGTTGCTGCTTTATCAGCTTTGTTAGTGTTCAGCAAATTATGCTTTGGTAGTGTTTTCATTTTCACTACAGTTCTCTTCTCCCTCTGGCTTATCATATAATGGCTTATGATTCTAGTGCCTAAAATCAACTTTCAAGCTTGTTTCTAAGCAAAGCAAGATGAGTGAAGGTATTTGAGACATGCAGTGGCTTTAGCAATTTGGAGTCTGATACACTTTGGAAACAGAGGGGATCCTTTTTCTCCAAGGTGCTTCTGCACAATGTTTCTGATAGTGGAGAAGATAAAAGTAAGTAAATGGCTCCTCTTTCTCATGTTAGTATTTTTCAGTCTATGGTAGTTTTTTATGTGGTTGTCATTTTAGTCATCAATTACAAAAAAAAAGCAACATAGCCATAAAAAGGCAAGCAACAACAGTTGCTCCTTGATTGAAGTTTTAAGTTTGCTCTAGCAGTGTGCAAACTGGCTGATCCATTTCCCGCCCCTCATCAGTTCTTGGTTTATTATTCCTCACCTGTGTGTTGGTGAGAGCATCTGCACATGTGTGTAGTGAGCCAGATCAGGGTATTCATCTGGCTAGAAAACAAGCAAATAAAACCGAAACAAGTGTTGAGGTTTTTGTTTTGCCTTGGGTTTTCTTTTGCTTTGGGGGGGGCGTTGGAGACAGTCTTCCTCTTTGATCTACCTTGCTATCTAGCTGTACAAGTGTTTGCACTGGCACAAAAGAAAGGATGCCAGGAAGGCTGGGATTAAGAGGCTAATGCTGGAACTGCTTAAGCTGTCTCTGCCCTTGAGACAGTGCTTGATCCACAATGACCTGATTGATCTGTTCTATATAAGATGAAGTATTTCTGCGTTCTGTAAACTCAAGTTTCAGAAAGAAAATACAGGCATGATTTCATAACATCTGCCAGCCTGGAGACTTAAGGCATAATGGTTTACAACTAGTGGTAATACAGGAGATATTTATACCTCCTTCAGGCTGGCATGAAGGTGCATGTTGTAATGGGCCTTGTTCTCATGGGGCAGGCCTTTTCTGGCTGAAGCATACATTCCCTTGTTTAGCAGGCAGAAGCAGAAAACAAAGTCTCTTTTGTGTTTCCCTATGGACTTCTTTGCAGGTCTGGTTCTTAAGGCTCAGGGATTATGCTTGTGCATTCAGCTATTCAAAAGTATTTTGAACTTCTGTTTGTCAAACCTCCAGTATTATTTGCTTTGCACTTACAGCAGGAGTTACAGAAGCTAAAGGCTAAGGAAAGGTTTGTAAGGCCAAGGTAGTATCTTTCATTTTAGACTAATATAAATGGGGGGAGGGGGGGAAAGTACAAACCTTTCTGATTTCAGATACCACCAGATAGTGTTTTTCTGTGCCACCTTTCTTTAGATCTGTATCGGTACACAGCTGTGTAAGGCATTGAAAAAGGTTATTTTTTCAGATTCCATTTTATTCAGATCCAGCAGTCTATGTGCTTTTTATGGTCAACGTGAACAAACAGACACCCCTAAAGGAATTGTTCCTCTCAATCCATAATTAGAACAGATCAGATGAATTGCAACTCAGTGGTGCCCCTATTGGGTATAAGAGCTTGGGATGACACGCACAGATGTGAATGTTTGGCATGTGGGATGTTAGAACTACCCGAGAAGTGAAACCTAGCTTGTACTGCTTTATGATATATATACATGTATATATATCATAATGTATATTTAAGTATATATGTATTTAAAGGTGGTAAAGTATACAGTTGCTATGGTAAAGAAAAGACGGTGCAAGCAGGAAAATATAGAGGCAGGAAGTTCTACAGAAATAGTGTCAAGGTGTTAATGAACAAGTAAGAATTTGAAATAATGCGGTCTTTCTTTGCTCTGACATGGTCTTAGTACATGACTTTTGAAGACAATTTATTTTCTTATGGACTCCCTCTTCTCTGGAAATCAGGCAGTTGAAAACATAAGATGCTGCTCTGCAAAATAAATCAGCTGTACTTGCACATTCTGAGTGTTTCACTCAATTAGGGAAGGCTCATAAAAAGGCTCAGATCTGTTAATTCAGGACTGTGTGCTAATGCATTGCTCCAAAAGGACCATCACCTTAAATCTTGTGCTTCTTCAATTCTGAGTCTTTGACTTTCTTTTAACTTAACCTCTTAGAGGAAGTTTATTTTCATGGGTAATTTCTGTCGTAATAATCCTTCGCTGTGGACTGGCAGTGCTGTAGACGTCTCTTTGCAGGGCGCAAGATGCTGAGCTCGCATGCTAAGCAGCAATGACCTGCAAGGTGTCCTCTGCCTCCAGAATGGGGCCTCTTTCCCCCTGTACTGCAAGGGGGAAAAGCAGGGTGGCTCCATGTGTTAGATGTCTAGAAGTAACTGTGGGGAGGTAGTCACATCTACCTGTGAGGTGCAGCTGAAAACCCATGTTTCCCCACTCACCACCCAGCCTGCTGCTGCCATAACATTGACCCGACAACCCCTGCGGTCAGTTGGCTGTGGCAGGCTGCCCATGCTTCTCCTTGGGTGTAGAGGGAGACAGGAGAAACAAACGTTATCTTTCCAAACTGGCTGGCGATTTGGCCACACTGAAGTTGAGTTTGCAGAGCAGAAGGAGAATGTTGCAGCCCAGCGACCTTTCTCCTTCAGTGCCAGCCGTGACGACAGGGCACCAGCTGCCGCAGGGCACACGTTACGTACGTGTGCAAGCACTTGTTTAGCTGAGCATAGCAGAGCCAAGGCTTACGAGCCTTCGGGCACCCAGCGGCCTGGGCGTGATCCGGACAGCGGAAGCCCAAGGCGGCGGCCCTGAGGCGCTGCGGCCGAGGCTGCCTACCGCCCCTTCAAGACTGAGGCCAGAGAGTCCCCGGGCCGAGCTCTTGCGAACGCGGTCTCGCCGGTGCCCACGCCCTGTCGCGGTCGGTGGGGACCAGCTGCTAGGCCGCAGAACAGCTCCCTGCCCTGGCCGGTGAAGCGTTACTTTCTTGCCCACCGGATGACCGGCCAACCCCTCTGGGGCGGGGCGACCACGGCGGCCCCGCCTTCTACCCCCGCTTAACCAATCGTATCGGGGTGTGGGCGCGGCCCTGAGCCTTGGTAGCCAATCAGAGCCACGGGTGACCCGAAGCGGTGTTCTCTGCACGCGCTTTCAAGGCCAGGGACGACTGTCACCTGCAAAGCCCAGTCAGAGCTCAGGGGGGGCGGGGCCTGCTCGGCCTTCTGCCCAATGGGAGCTCGGGAGCGGGGGAAAGGCGGAGCGGGGCAGGCAGAGGGAGAGTGGCAGGGGCCTCGTGCAGTAGGGGAGCAGAATGTGCGGCCTCTCCGGGCAGCCCGAGCCAATGGGTGCCGCCGGTGGGCGGGGCGGGAGGTGTCTGTGCTTAGGCTCTGTGATTGGGAGAGGGCAGCGGGAGCCGGGTCGGGCAGGGCAGTGTGTGCGCCGCACGAAAATGCACTCGGATGCCGCCGCTGTCAGTGAGTAGCGGCGGGGCCGGGCCGCGCGCTCTCGCCCGCCCGCCCACCGGCGGCGCCACCGGCGGCGCCACCGGCCTGTTTTTTTCCGCCGGCGGGCGCTGTCGCCCGGGTGGGGGCGGTTTGTCCTGCCCCTCACCGAGGAGGCTCGGCCGAACGCGCCGCTGGGGCTCCCGGTGACGGCGGAGGGCGTCAGGCCTGCGGGTGCGGAGCTGGCGGGGAGCGAGGCGGTGCGCGCACCTGGGAGCGGCTCCCCGTGGGGATAGCAGGTGCCCCGCGGCCCTCAGCGGGCTGCTCCGGGAGGGGGGGGGGGGTGGGGGGCGGGAGGGGCTGGGGCTGGACAGGGGTGGCCCGCACAGCAGCGACCGCGGGCGAGGGCAGCAGGACCGGCGGGGGCCGGGGGCGCTCGGAGGGTGTGACGCAGTTTCCCCGACCCGGCTCGCGAGCGGGTGAGGCCGCGGCCGGCCCTCGTGGCTGGCTGCGAGGGAGCCAGGCTGCCAAGGGGAGGGTGGGCGCGGGCTGCGGGGTTGCCCGGCGGCTTCGCCAGGTGGGAGCCGTGTTGCATGTGGGGGGAGGCGGGTGGTGGTTTATTTAGCGGATTCCAGCGGGCCGGTGCAGGAGAAGCGGGCTGTGAAGGGGAATGGGCGCCGCGGCGCATTGTGGGAGGTAGAGTCTCTCCTGCGGCTGCCTCGCGCGGCAGGGCTGTGGGCGGTGGGGCGAGGAACTACAACTTCCAGCAGGCACCGTGGCGGCGCGGTACTCTGCCCCGCCCAGCGCGGCAGGGAGAGTTGCTGCCCGGTACCCGGCGGTCGGCGAGAGCCCCCGGAGGGCTGGAAGCGGGAGGGGCTGCTTCGTCCTTACTCCCCCCTCCTTTCCGTCGTGGGCAGGACGCGGCCCGGGGCAAAGCCCTCAGCTGCGGGGAGGGGGAAGGTGGGGCAGGAGTGGGGGGGTCAGGCCGCCTGTTCTGGAGGTGCGTAGGGAGGGCTTTGTCTCTGTAGCGTTATTTCGTGGCTCCGGTTTCGGAGCAGGCGGGACAGTGGGTAGGGCCCCTGGCGTAGGGGGATTGCACACCTGCGCGGGGATCGGGAACCGGCGCCGTCCCCCCCGCCGGAGAGATGAGGCTGTCTTCCCGGGTACAACGGTGTTCCCGATTCCTGTGAAATCTCCCAGGGACGTGTTCTCACTGTGCGAGGAGTTGCAGCTCTGAGACACGCTTTATTACTGCAGAACTTGCTTATGGGAAAGATAATGAAAATTGAAGCTTTGATCGTACGTTAATGAATGATGGTCTGACTTTTGGACGAAGTCCTGAAAGCAATTATGGAAAGAAATGCTGCATAAGGCCTGGATTTGCTTGAGTCCTCCTGTGTTTTTCAAAATGAGAGATTGGATGGGGCAGCCTGGTAAAGGCTTTAACTCACAACGTTATGTAATTTCTTTAGTGGTTCTCCTTTATTTTACCTTTGTATTTAGGGTTCATTATATGTTGGTGGTTAAGGCTGTTATTACAGCACAAATAACTTCCTCATGATGGAAAAGAATAATTATTCTAGAAAATTCCTTCTGTTCAGTGTCTTTTGTCATGTGCCCTGTCCAAAAAAAAAAAAGGTGCAGGTCTTCGTGTAAGCTACAGTTACAAATATTCCAGTGCTCCCTGGTGTAGGATATTAAGGCTATGTGGTGATTATTTATATATATATATATATAATGTAATTTCTCTGCAGAAAACAACAGTGCTGTTTCTCAACCTTCAGCTGTTACTGGCTTTTCTTTAAAAACGTCCCTTGGAATAATTGGATCTTCCACTTCAATAACTTTTTTTGGCAGAAGGGAGAAGGGGGGCAGTTCATGGCCTTGTATATGTGTTTATTTTAAATAGGAATATTTTCCTCAATTAACTAACTTAATTATCTGTATCTTCATGGTAGTTGTTTTTATTGCTCATTGATCTAAATGCAACAGGAAGTGTTCGTGGCATTTCTTAACACATGCAGAATCTGGTATGACTGTCTCTTGACTGAACATTTCTTTTGAGCCTTCTTAGATTCTTACCTGTTCTAATGATATAAACTGCATTAACATGTTTTTTCTAAGTCTGTTTTACTTTCTGAGACTGAATTTACACTTTTCATGTTACATCAGAAACACGAACTTCTTTCCTGTTGCAAACATTTGCTTAAAAGTTTTTTGCAACTCTGTAATTGGAAATGTCTTCTCTACGCCAGGCCGTGCAATAAGCTGAATTAGACAGGTAAACAGCCTTCCTTTTAGTGCTTCTCTTCATTTTTTGTATCAGGATGAGGTTTCATTTGTGTATTCACAACACTTGATTTAAATTTATTTTTCTCTGAGTGGCTTTTATGCTAACTAAGTGAATTATTAATCCTATATTTTCTTTACTTTTCCCCCATACTTTGACGAGACTGAAAACATACTTTGGGCTTTTTCAAAGCATTATTTCCCAGTTTTGTTTGTGTCTTCAAGCAGCAGAGTAAAACTTGCTTGATTTGCCTGTCCTGTGCTTGCCAAAAACCATTGCAGTAGGAAGTGCGGTACATCCCATGAAAATGTACCATTCTGGTATGCCATTTAAATATTAGAGCATTTAATAGTGTGGTTATTTCTTCTACAGTAAGACTACTAGAAAGGCTTTCCAGCAGAACCCTTATTTTAAATGTGCCAGCATTTTTTTTTATGTCATGCAATTAACTTGTTTTATTTAAAATCATAGGTCTGAGGTTAAACATAGTTTCCCCTTTTGGCTCAACAAGAGATGGAAATAGTTACCAGTTTGATCAGTTATTTATATATATATATATATATATATATATAGTTAGAGCTACAAGGCTTTATATATATACATATATATATATATTGCTGTTAGAACTGCAAGGCTTTAGCTTGCCCATGGGAACCAGCTGATGTGACACATGCTTCTGTGTCTCTTGATGCAGATGTGTGGCTGCAGACTCTAGGACTGTTTGCTGCAGCTGCCCATTACTGCCCATTAGCCATAGGTTATTCCTTCCTTTTCCCTACTGTAAAATGCTTTGTAGGTGCCCTCTCTAATTCACTCAGTCAAATGTATCTAGGTTAGCTTTGGCTGCTTACTTAAAGTGTCTAAACTGGCAGGGTTGATTTTTTTTTTTTTTTTGCCTGAAGTGGATTAGGGAATGCCCACAACCTGTGCTGCTGGCAGGGCTGTGGGGTCAGTAACTTTTGGCAGAGAGAAAGAAGCAAACAGCTGGGGCAGTAACCCTTTTGACTGGCATAGCTGTTCCTAGACTGATGCAGATCCATCATGATGTATACTAGATGGGCATGGTGCTCGACACCCTAGTAGTGTGTACTTGACAGGGTTACATTTCTGCTGAATTAGCTGGAGCATGAGATGCAAAGTTTTTATTAGCTTTATGCCCTTTGTAGGATGCCAAATGACACCTAATCTGGCATGAAGTTAAGAGTAGTGCTGGCAAATGACTCTCAGGCTATAGCAACCAGTAATGCAAAACTAACTTGCTGATTCTTTTTTGAATTAATTTGGTGGTAGAGTAAGATAGACTGGATAAACACTTTTCATCAAATTGGTGTAAAATTAGTTCTGTATTAAATGTTTTATAGCTCAACTTCTTATGTTCTTAATTGTAGACTGAAAAAATGTTCAATGTCCAAGTAACACAGAATCAGTGAAATGCTGTTTGATTTGGTAATACGTGCTTTAGAAATAGATTTCAATTAGCTGTGATTATTCACTGCTTTCACTCCTTCTTTTCCAACTGTGGCTGGTTGCTCTAGCTTTCTGGCAAGAATCTTCATTAGGAATGCTTATCCAATACATTTAGTAGGTACACAAGCAGTATTTGCAGCAACAGAAGCAGATGTTTTTTATAGACAAGACCTAACACTAAATGTATTTCTGGTGCAAAACAAAACACTCAACCAACACGCCTCCAAAAAAAAAAAACCCACCCCAAATCCCCAAGCCTTAAAATCCCCCCATGAGCCAGTGTGCAGGGTTTTTCATCCTATAGGTTAGTGTACCATAGGTTAGCATAGCTCTTACTTGTTCAGAGCCCATTTAAGGTACACAGAAATGCATTTAAAATAACAGTTACACACCTTTTTAACTGCTTAATTTGCTCTAAAATTCTCAATTGACTTTAAACTGCAGTAGTCCTCTTTCTAAACAAGCCTTCAGGTTAGGGTACTTTAAGAATACCTGGGTAGAAGAAGGATTTGTTCCTATGGGGAAAAAAAAAAAGATTAATGGTTTTTCCTATCTATGTAGCATGAAGTAATTTTAAAACACTTTGTTTCAGGTAAAGTGAGTGACTGATTGCATGTGGTACTGAGAGTTGAATGTGAATGTTTACCTAAACCAATAAGTGTTTTTTAGTGTTTATGATTTCAACCGCATTTTGGTGTTTAGGTTTGGGGGTTTTGTTTTTATTTTTCAGTAGCTTGAATCACTCTGTGTTTTGCTTCAGAACATTTTAGGCTGTTGTATTTGGAAAGTGTACACTGATTTTAAGCTGTGGGTTTGAATACTGCTGGTGTCAGCAGTAGCTTTGAGCTTGGTGCAGCTCTGAATGCATGTGTATGCAGGAGAAATGTCCTGCAGCACCATGTCTTTAGTTTTAATGGTTAGGTCCTGTTGCTCCTGAAGCCAGGATGTAGCCTCCCATTTATTGCATGTCCTTATTGTCCAGGCTGGAATTCACTTCTGTTTTCCTTATTTTCTGAGTCGCGTTTAATCCCATCAGATCAAGGGAGACCCTGCTTTTCAAGCAGGGTCTTCTCTGCCTCCCCTTGCCTGCCTGCTTGCTCTTGCCTGATGGACTGAGAGAGATCTCTCCTGCAGGCTGCCCTGCGAAAGGATGTCACTGCCTGTGCAGATTCAGCCACAGACACGTTGGAAATGAATTCTTAATCCTGTCTTTGACAGGAATGCAGAGTCAGCTCCTAGCTGCTCTGTACTGCAGTTTGGGGATCTCACTTTTTAGGTGTGTTGTGATGTTTTTTGTGTAAATGAAAATAATACTGATGCATGTTTTTCTTTTGTTTTCTGCCTTTAGTACTGAATATAGAAATTCTGCTTAAGTATTGAAGGCTTTCAGCAAATGCAGGTTTCAGATCTGAAATTCTAAGTTCATTAATCAATATAAATTGTCTTACTCCTAGGATAAGTCAGTAAGTAGTCTACAGAGCATGAAATGGTTTAGTTCGTAGACAATTAAATGATTCTTTTATGGATAAGTAAAGTTTATTTAAAACTAATTAAGAAGTCAGTACTTTGAGCTATTTCTAGTAATACTTCAAGCCATTAAATGAAAGTAAAATCATAAACATTCCATTTTAATTTTCAGGGATGAGTCTGTCTAGTATGTATTGTCTGAGAAGTTTTTTTTTTCCTGAGAAGGTAACAGGAGATTACCCATGATACTTGTACCAAGTCAGATATATCTTAGCATTAATAAAAATTGCTACTACAACTATTTCTGTAGTTAATACAGAGTTGTATCTGTAGCATTTACATGGCATGTCTGTCTAGAAGTATTTTTAGACCTACTGTTACTGTGAGATTTTTGTGTACTTTCATATTTGTGCAGAAAAATAATCTAGAAACTTTTAAAGGAAACTTAACTACAGCTGCTGATCTGGTTTAGTGCTGTTGTTAATTTTTTACTAGTTCTTTAGTAGATTGCTGTGCACCCTGGAGCCATGTTTTGTCCAAGCTTTAAAGTGATAATTTTGACAGCAGGAACTAAGTTGAAGTTTTTATTCAGGCACGTACATGTCTATGTGCGAGGAGGTGCACAGGCAGAAGTACTCTTTTTTTTTCAGGTATTCATTTGTGGCTTAATTTGAGTAGTTTGACAACACATCATTCCCTCCAGTAAAAAAATGGACTTGACCTTTAAAGTTTTCATTTCAGGTGGGAGAGTATTTGAGTTCAGTTCACCTGTGTAATTTTCTTATATTTCAGATATAGTCAGGTTTTTTTTGTTCATTGGATTTTCTATGTTTGTCTCAATGAGGGGGTGTAGAAAGATTTTTGTGTAGTTTGCTATGGAATCAAGCCCAACAGCTAGCTGTTGTTTCTTTTGCCTCTACATAACTGGCAGGTCTGTAGCATGTAAACGTTAATCTAGAATGTTTTAAAGGTTATTTTTAAACTGTTTGCTCTTTACTGTTAAATTGTATATGAATGTGACTAATTGACTAACGAGACTTTAACGCTTAAGAGTTGATGACCAGATGCGGACAGGGATTAAATTCCATGATACTAGGCTGGCTGTGGCATTTCTTTCCTTTCCAGATTCTGGATTTGCAATTAATTTACTTAAAGGCTTGTTTTGTTGTTTGGGTTTGTTGTTTTTTTGTTTTTGTTTTTTGTTTGTTTTTTTTAGCCATTAAATTCCGAGTTATTGCAAAGTATTAATACCATTTGGAATTTCTTTTCCATCAATACTTGCTAAAGATAAGCTAACATATCCATAAAAAGTAATCAACAAAATATGTATACTTTTTTTGACATACAGCTCTTAAAATCGTAGCAAATGTTCCAGCACATCTCTTCAGTATTCATGAAGCAAGCTGTTTTCTTTCTTTTCATCCCAGGTCAATAAACTCTGTGGTACCTTGCTATAAATTTTTTTTTTTTTTTTTTTTTGCAGGAAAACAAAACCCAAACAAAAATATTTTCACACCAGTTCTTGTATTTAGGTGAAAAATAGCTTCACATGTGATGGCTTTCGTCATGTAGAGCTCATACAACCAGCTGTTGAGTGTGTAGCTTTATGTAATGTATCCTTCTGACAGTGGGGCTTGAGTGGATAGTTGGTTTAACACATTGCTGCTGCCATTAGAGACTGTTTTGCTCCCACTTTGGAGGACTTTTCTTGTTTCTTACTCTAACTTTGCTTATGAGGAGTTACATGTCCTTGGTGATCTGCTTCAGACCCCTGAGCTGTCAGGGTTGGTTTGTTTGTACTTTTTGTGGATAAAATTCCTGAGGTGGTGGGCTGACAGGGGGTTGGCCGGCATAACTTGGAGGCTGCAGAAGCAAGCATAGAAGCTGGGAAGGTGGAGGGGAGAGAGCATGTTGCTGAAGCATATGATGTTGAATCACTTGCTTGTCATGTTGACTGTGCCATTGTCCCTTTGCTGTTTTTCAAGAAGGTGTTATTTAAGCATAGGAGGTATTTTTTTTCAGATTCTGTTTCTTAAAAAGAAGTTTTAGAAATATACCTTTTCAGTGGCATAGGATACTTGGTGTATCTTCCTTGCAGTATAGATACAGCAAATGCTGACCAGTTCAGGAGGTGACCTGAGCTGTAGTTGAACTCCCCTAGTCATTGGCTGCTTGCATTTGCTTTTATAACAGGTACTGCAAAAGAAATCTGTTTCTTGGTTTTGGGTATACCCTTAGTTTGCAAGCTTCCCTTGTGGAAGAAAGAAAACTTTGGACTCTGATCCTCCATATTCATACAGATAAACCAGTCTTCGTGGAACTAAGGTGTGACACTTGTACAAGAGCTGTAAAATATATTTGTGTAACCCCTCCAAGTCCATCGTAATTACGTAACCTATTTTTGAAATAACAGCTTAAAACTGTAAGGATATTTCCAGTGGATGTGTGAAGTGTACTGGTATGAATGGTGTGTTTTGAAGTGCCTGGGAATGTTTTATTTCAAAGGTGATACATAATATACATAAGACTAACTTCAAAATATATTGCTTTTAAGGGTACCATCTATAATTACAATTTAATGTTAGTTTAGAATAAAGCATTTGCTCAACATTTTCAGCTTGTTGCTTCCAGGTATAATTGTTTTCTCTAAAGATTCATGTTCTTTGTAGATTTTAGGCTGAGCAACAAGGGGAATTTTAAAATTCATCTTCCAGAAAGCTTAGTTTGGTCTGGCAGTTACCAAAATAAATCCGTAAATGTTACTTTTTAATCTTTGCCCTTCTCAGAATGGTTTTTATGTTCCCACCGCCTTTTATTTTTATTTTTTAGAATTTCTTTATGTTGAATTGAAGGTTGACTAAGAAAGTCGGGTTTGATTTTCTGCACAATAGTTCTACTTAATAGTGTTTGGCTAGCAAAGGTGGCACTTTATTGAGCACTTAATGCAGATCTTCCTATCAAGACCTGGATTGTCTTCACACAGATCAGTACATCTAAAGTTGAATATGCTTATCTATATGGTACTTCTGACTTAAGAGAAATTGTATTGGTATGTTGGTGAATTTGGGACAATACATTAAAAAATGGGTAGCAATTAGTGAAATGATACTCTGTAGCTAATATAGTAAACGAAATTTATGGTTTCTAAAGGCATCTTTTGAAATTTTGTTTTCTTCACTGTGACAAGATAATTCCATAACAACTTGTAGAAGAACTGCTCTTACAGCAGGCAATTCCTTCAGATCCACTTGTTAACTTCATAGCAGTTTGGTTCACTGATTTGGGGAGCTGATATTTAATGGTTACTTGTGTTTATCCTTAGATTCTGGGTCATCTGAAGTGTATTTTGAGAGCATTTGTTTGAAATGCTAAGGCTGGAAATGTGGGAATTATGTTTGTGACCTTACTTGCATCTTGTATCAGTTACTGGGCAAAACCAATTAAATTTTTCCCAGTAGAAATGCTTTAATGCATTAACTGGCTGGTGACACTTTGCACGTACAGCTTTTCATGTATGGAATAATTTTGCTTGAAATACTTCGCTTGTCATACAGTAAATAGTCTCTATTTAATTAGAGTGTTCTTGCACACAAGTTCTAGTGGGGTAGCTAATTTAGTTTAATGCTATATAGTAGTTGGCTGTCTTTGGTCCCTGTCAGCTGGTCTGTGTGCAGCTTCTGAGTTTCTTGTTGGTTTGTATGCTCTCTGGCTGGATCACCGGTGATGTGTTCATATATTACTTATTATCTACTTTTGTCCTCAACACTTCTAGCAAAAAATAAGGGATTTAAAAGACTAGAGAAAAAGTAGTTTGTCATTTTTGTAACTGCAGCAAACTTAAGTGTTTTATTTTAGGAACATGGGAGCAAAGTTAACATGTATGCTATGGCTTCTTTCCTCAAGTGTTAGAATATTGTATTTTAGGTTTTTATTGGCTCTCATCCTAACAGCTGCTGTGTTACAATCTTTGCTTAGTTATACAAAAGTCATATTTCAACAATGTAAGCACATTCCAGTCACTTAGTTTTGCAAGTAAATTAGTATAAAGGCAGGTACATGTGTATTAATAAAATCAGCTTTTAAAAACCCCTAGCATTTTTAGTAAGGATTTTAGAATGTTATATGGCATTAAGATTGGTTTGGAATAGACGGGATGGAAGCACTGAGTAGGATGGAAATTAGAATGATTCCCAATTTAAAGGGAAAAATAGTAAATATTTATTTTTAATATGATTTTATATTTGGATAGAGTTGGCCATAGTTCTGTTTTGCTGAGGGTGATCCGTGCCTTAAGAAGAAATGTATATCTAGGATGTCTTTTGCAGGTTTCACTTATTCCACTTGTGTTGAAAATGTTGATGCTGAAAAAATGTGGAGGTGGCTTTTACTTTCTAGTTATGTGATGTTTCTCTTAAATGACCACAACATATGAAGATCTCAGTTGCTGCAGCTGGAAATGAGAGAATTTAAAACTTTTCCTATTTTTTTTTTTTTTGTCCCCTCCAGATTTTCAACTGAATTCTCACCTATCAACACTGGCAAATATTCACAAGATTTACCACACCCTCAATAGGCTGGTAATGACTTGCCATTTTGTTTTAGCAGAATAGCTGAGGCTTTAGTCCAGAATGTTTTGTGATTGAAATCATTAAGTGATTACACTTTCAAGAGTTATGACTGTATTTTTGCATGAGAGGCTCTAGGTTTTGAATCTGTTAAGAAATAAGTAGGTACTAGAAAAACATGAAGGATTATACGCTGGGGATCAGAGTGGAGTTTGAGCACTGTTCACTGCAGCATTGAATTTAAATGATATCTCCGCAGAAGAAGTTTTTTTAGATATGTCAAATAATAGTAATCATCATCATTATCCAGCTTCTCATAGTTCTTTTGGAAAACCTCCTGAATGGACAAGCTGTCCTCTTATAGCCATGCAAGGAGTGAAACAGGATTTGTTCGTTTTTTTCTTAAGACTGTCCCTGCTTGTCGGTTGTGCATTTACATTTGTTTTATGGTGGCCATAGCTGGAAATGCTGATATGGCTTTTGTGTGCATACTGCAAATTTAATGGGAAAGTTTTCAGTTTGGTTTTAATCAGTTTTCTTTAGAACAAGTGTGTTTATCTAAAACCATTTCTGTTGTAAACTCAACCTTTTTAATACTGCATTTATTAGTGGAACTGTTCAATACAACAGTGCAAAATTCCTCATCCTATGGATAGTTATTTCCACTTTTGAAACATAGTTTGGTATGTTTTTGATTAAATAACTTGAAAAATATTTTTGAGTTTTTTAAATTTTTTTTTTATTTAAGATTATGCTTGAACTTCTAAGACAAATGTGCAAGGGTAACTTCTTGGATTAATATGAACTGGAAACACAAAGGCTCCGCAGTTTAGCTAGAGGATCCTTAAGTAATTAAGATGAATAGTATCAAATAAAGATTAAAAACATGGCTGAACAATGAAAATCACCATCTTGTTAAACTGTGTCATTCCCACTCTCTTGCAGAATCTGACAGAGGACGTCGGTCAAGACGATCATCAGACAGGTATTTAATAGGGATATAGAAGAAGTAGATTGAAACAATTTAAGCACACTTCATCAAAAAAGTCTCTAACATTGTTGAACATTATATTTTTAGAAAGCCAAAGGAGTTTTTGAACAGAAGTGCCAGAATTTTTTAAAATCTTCTTCAAAACAGATGTTTTTGCTTGTAATTTATCCAGTTGTGAAGGACTCACTCAGACTTAAGCAGCATGTCATTTTACTATTTCTTAGTGTAAATAGTTTAGAAGATGGAAAAAATTCTCACTCCTTGGACTCAACCCATTAGACTAGCAGAATATCCATATTCTTACAGTGCTTTGACTCTCTTGAAAGAGCATCGAGAACAGAGCAGAAGCAAGACTTCTTGTGGCTATTGTGATGCCTGTGACCGAGTTTAAATGCTGTGCTCCAAACAATCCTGTTTCTTGTGCAGATTTTCAGTTGGTGTCTAAGGACTATTTATTAGGCCAAATCTGTTTTCTGTTCCATAAAATGTCATTGTTTTTGAAGGCCTTCATCTCAGGTGCTTCATTATAGCTTGCTGCCATTCTTGATTCATCAGCATTTGTGCTTTGTGGCTTGGTATCTTGCAACTTTTGTTACCTCCTTTTCACTTGTAATTTGTGAGCTGGCATCTTCCTTGATTTCTTTTTCTTCCTTTCTGTGTTTCAGGCATGATACCTAAGGAGGAAGGAAAATAACTTACTGGCTTCAAGCCTTGATCACTCAGCAGAATTGTTCTTTAAAACTGACCATATCTGTCCTACCATCTGTCTCAAAGTTTTTATCTATCCTGAGGTGCTGGCTATGTTTGCTGATGTTAACCTTGAGCGCTTCAAAAAGTGGAGAGAGAGCTGTCAGCTTCTCCTCGAGATTTCTGGGACACACTTATAAATCTAGTACACTCTTAGCCTGGAGCAATGAGAATTGATGCATAGGACCACATTGTTTGGGATCAGATAGAGCTCGCTTGGGGCTTATGTACCCTCTTCCATACAGTGACAGGTGACTTTGTTTCATAGTTGAACTGTCTTACCCTAGCCAGAAAAGGCTTCTGTCAAATATTTCCTTCAGTTTGGTTAGTGATTTGATACTTGAAATTAGCTGATCATGTGTACGAAAAACCTTTGCAGAAAAAGTTCAGGAAGGTAGATCAAAGAGATTTTGTTGTCTGCATGTTAGAATTAATGTCCTCTCCCATCTCCCGATTGAGACTTGGAATTTTCCTCTTTGTGATCCAGTTGCTCAGACTAAATACAGATACATACTGATTCCGTGTTTGAAAATACATTCTTTGCTTACTTTTGATTAGAAAAAGCTGTTGTGAAGCACTGACGTAGTCCCCTTGTGTCACCAATCAATAAGAGTAGGTATGCTTAAGATAATTAGAATTTATCTTATTTCTTGCCTAGCACTTTGTTCATAAAGGTCAGTTGAAGAAACTATCCTCAGAGCCCTGATTACCTCTGCTGGAGAGTTTTGAACATGTTACTGCTCTTAATGAACTGCTTTATACTGACACTTGTTGCTTGATTGCTTTGATTCTGTTCCTTGAATTAAGCTGTTTCAAAAGCCTTAAACATGCCCATTGAATGAGTGGGCACAAAATCCTAGTAAATTTTTACAATATCATAAAAGAACCTTTCAAACGAGGAACAAGTATGAAATGAGGACCAAAAGCAGAGGTTGATACTGGCAGGCTGCCAGTATCAGATTACTTGCAGTATTTCTTATGCTTCTGTCCTACTGTATGTCTCCTGGTAGAGAAAGATGAAGCCCCAGTGTTTGCATAACTCCCAGGTGAATTTGGTCAAAATCTGTGATTGGTTTTCATCATATGAGGACAAATACACAGGCAAGGAGCTATTTTGGCTATTGTGAATATAGCACAATGAAGTCTCCTGTGCCCATTTTTTGTGAGACTTGACACTTCTGAAACATCTTGTTGGACATCCTTATGTAAATTGTTTGATTGTGATGTGCCTAAATTTTTGGAACTTCTCTTTTCCAGTATTACTGACTGCATAGTAAGAAGTGTCCTATTAATAGTGACCTATTAATTTTGTTATGCAGTTTATAGAACTGCATAGATGCTGTGAATTTGAGCTTCTCTGTCCAGAGCTCATTTGAAAGTCATGTTAATAACTGTAGCAACAGATTCTTTGCGTGTTGCCAAACTCATCTCAAAATGTTTGTTTGGGTTTTTTTAGTTTTGGAAATTCTTTTTACACTCTGAATCATCTGGAGCAAGCCTTATCCTTCCAGATAACTGTTTGTTTGACATAATTATCCTGGCTAATGGTATTACACTGTGGGCCCCACTTTTAGGATGACTTAATAAATGCATGTCTAAATTTAGTTGAGATTTCTAAAAGCTATTTAAAAAACCCAAAGTATTTCAATTTTTTTATAATGAACTTTTAATGCATATTGCATTTATTTCAAAGCACTTGTTTCTGAGCTAACTATATGTACTGGACATCTAAATGACTTTAAGCAAATTATATCTTTTATAAGTATTTGACAGATTTCTTTTCTAGAACCAGATCTTAACAAAGAGCTAGAGGGTGGCAGTTGTAAAATTCCTTCAGTGATTTGGGAGCAAAGATGGATCTCGCTTCGAAATTCCAGTCACCTGTATTGATTGCAGTCTCAGAAAATGTGGGATTTTTACCTTTTATTCAGCGCATTCAGTGCCCGTATATATGTCTGAAAAATAAGCTAGGCTGGAATGTCATGGGCCTTACCCTTTTCAGCTGTTTGTAAGGGTAAGAAAGTCAGGCATTCAGATTCTGTAATCAGTACCTTTTTCCTAGTATGTATATGCATTTACTTGGAAAACTCTCTAGAGTTGGAAATAAGTTGGTTTTCTTGTCATAACTACAAATCTAGTAACTTATAATAGCTTAAATTGTGACTGACCTATCCAGACTAAAATGTCTTTAAAAGTGAAAGTAAAATTCCTGTTGTCACCTGGCTTATTTAAAGAAGTAATGCCTTCATTGCTGTTCTTGAAGCTTGTAGGGGAAAAAAAATTACCTTTGCCTCTACTGTTTTTTCTGTTCTTCTGGAGAAAAAGGTCCTCTCCAGTCAAAAGCAATTCTGTAGTGTGGAATTCAAGATAAAGTGATTTTTTCCTTTTACAACAAGATTGCAAGTTTGTTTTATGTTTTGATGAGTATCCTAGTTTTCTCATCTTGTATCTGAAAAATACTGACTGTTAACTTGTGCTTGCTGTGGTCTTGTTGCATCATTAAATGAGCAGCTTTACCCTTCCAATTGCTTCAGCATTCAGTTTCTAATTATTTTTTGTTTGAAACATCCCTCTACTTAAGCTTCAGAAGAGCAGGATTCTTCACAGGCATTATCTAGGGAAAAGGTGGAAGTTATATGTCTGTAAATCACTCCTGCAGGGACCTCCTTGTAGAATTCTTACTATTGACCTGTTTTTTCTTCTTAATTTACTCTGGTTTTGTTGCTTTTCTAGGAGTGTCCCTCTCTTGTGGTGATTATCTTGCATATTGTTTTAGATCTCTTAGGGTGAATTTTGGCTCTTAAGTTGATCTTTCCATGGGTAGCTTTGTCTTCTGCAAATTTGAAAGTGCTGAGTAGAATGTTTGGCAAACAGTGTTTACACTCGGCAGGCTTTTGGCTGATGTTGACCTATTTGGGAGCCATTTGGAGGCTCTATCTTGCAAATGCTCACTTCAAGTGTCAAAAACACAGTGAGAACTAGAAGGGTTCTGCTAATCTTGAGTTGAGACCCAGGAGTAAGAAACATTGAAGATAATCACATCAAGCGGCCCTCGGTAAGTAAAGTTCATGTCAAACTTTGCATGAAGTCAGAGGGAGCTGCATGAATGTTTGCAGATGATCAGACCTTTGAGAAGTGGAATTAATAGTGAAGGACTAGATTGAGAAATTACATGTAGAATTAGAAAGCTCTGTGTAGGAAAGATTAATATCTATGGTACTTAGTGACCTATACTGTAAAATAAGAAATTGCAAGAATTCAACCAAAAAGACCCGAACTCTCCGATAGTTTTTAGCTTTAGATGGAAATGAAAGATTAAAAAGAAAACCAAACCAACAATATTTTCAGAGTTTGTTGCAGGGAAATTATAACTACCCTTCAAATTCAGGGTACTGATTCTAGTAACAAAAGGAAATACTTTCAAAGTAACAGTCTTGTACTGTTTTTTTTTTTAGTACTTTAGAGGTCATTCAGCAGTTAAAACCTAGTGGACTTGGTCCAAGCCTCAGTTATTAAAATATTAAATCTCTAAAAGCATGTACAATATGTTTGTCTACCTGGTGTCTGTGTGTGTGTCTGTGTGTGAGGGGATGTCCATGTGCATTTAATAGCCACTTACCAATTTCTGAGCTATCTCTTTTCTTCCTTTTTCTGTCAGTTTGAGAGCTGCAACTAGACTCATTCAAACCAAGAAAGGGTACAAGTTTTTTTGTATGAGTCATTGAAGAAATTGGGTTACAGTGAATTCTGTTATCAGTATAAGCCTTTAAAACCACTTAAGCCATCTTCCTAAAAATGTCCTGTCATTTAATGAGGAAAACAAGCAGGAATCTTTGGGTTAAATTCTTTGGTTTGTATGGGGTTGCAGATCTGCCAAAATAATTTTCATGTTCTATAACAGTTTTATTTTGACTTTTATTTATTTCATTTTCATCTTTCGCTGTGCTTGTCTTTTCACGGAGGCCTTGCATATTTCTTTTCACAACCAAATAACTAGTAAACTGGACAAACCTGGGATGGGTTGGTGGTTTTTCTTGCATTTTACCAGCATCCAATGCCTGTGATTCTCTTTTTAAAGAAGGGCATTTAAAACCATTGAAATTGCTCTCGAAGGAAGGAGATAGCTACAGGTTGTACTCAAGTACATATGTATTTTTCAAAACAAGGTGTTCATTAGCACACGTTTTCATTTATTAAGTTTAGTGTGTGTCTGAGTCTGGCTGTCTCTGAGCCATCTGTTCTGCTGTCATATTAAGCGTTTTTAGTTTGTGTAGGTTTTTAAAAAATACTGGCAGTCATTGAAAATTGATCTAAAAGCCATAGAGCATTGCACTTTTGATAACTTCTGGGAATACCATTTTGCAGTATCATTAATTTGCAGGCATAATCAGGTGGAACAAATGACATTTTGCAGGTCAGGTTCCTTTGTTTAATCTGGGTAGTAAAATGCATCTGGCGTATTGTGAGTTATTGATGGTCTCTGGCTTACATGTTTCAAATGTATCAAATATTGGTGAGGAGGAGAAGATAAATATTGTTATAGCTAATTTCCTTTTGTAGTGTAGTCCAGAAGTATATTCTCCTGACACATCCATTATGATTTTTTCATGTGATAGTAGTTTATGGGGTATAATGCTTGAAAGTTTTTTGATAACTGGTTAAATAATTTGGTTTTACAATACTCTTAAAACTTTTTTCCTAGAAGTCAGTGTAGATGTTGCCATACTTCCCTGGAGGATGCTGAGGTGGGGGAGCTTCAGCATAAAATGAAAAAGGAATACATAGGAAGAATTAATTGGAAAGAGTATTTCTTGAACTAGAGAGATTGATTTTATTCTTAATAGAAATTAATACAAAGGTAAGACCAAAGAAGGCATAGTAAGTGCAAAAGCTTCATTAATTGAAACCAAATTAGTTCGTCTTGATGTAAAAACTTGTTTGAACATCCTGGCTAATACTAGAAAAATCCTTAGTTTCATATATATAATAGTTTCAGTGCATGTTTAAAATAAAGTACATGTAGCAAAGCCTGTGAGGCTGTAAGGTTCCTTACATGTGTTTCTCCTATAACAGGAGAGAGGCTTTCAAAGATACGAAGAATAGGTAAGCAAAAGATTGCTGTTAGTATTTGTTGGGAATTGGGCCTCTAATTTCAGTCTGCTCCTGTGGTGTCAAAAAGTAGTCAAGGTTTTATTGCTTGCTTTTGTGCTGTGACTTAAAGATTTTGTGGGCATCTTAATAAAGCATAGCTAAACTTGAATGCTGTTGAAGCTAAGAGAAGGCAGCTTAGGCATGCTGAAGTTCTTCATATTTTCTTGCAAGTTTTCTTTGGCATTGCTTTGTGTCTGGATTTTTATACCTCACCTCTTTCTTCCTTTCCTTTTAAAATTCTCTGTGTAACACTTAGAGCTATGATAGCTCTGTGAGCTGCTCTTTCACGCACCTTTCTCAGGTGTCCATGTGGTCTACAGTATACAAAAGTAGGACAAAATTTTGCCTGGAGTGTTAGCTTACTGTTTTCATGAGACAGCAAAAGCAATTTAACGACTTGCTGTGGTCAAAAGGGCTGGTCCTTTGCTCTTTCTTGTGCTAATATACAGAAGGTTGTTATTTTTTGCTTGGGTTAATTATCTACAGGTTTGGTGAGCTCAGCTGGCACACTGAAGAGTCACATAGGAGTATGTAGCTGAGAGAAGAGGAGGGAAAGACTGCTACTTGATTGGCATCAGTGTCTTGAATTGGCTGTTTCCTACCTGGAGACCTTCACTGTTTTGAAAATTATCCAGACCCAAGTGATACAGACAGCCACTTATTTTTTCCTGCGGTGGTTGCTGAATGTCTTTTCCCCTGTCCCATTTCATCCCCCTCCTTCCCCCCAAGAAAACAAAGACAAAAACAACAAACAAAACCTTTCCTACCCCTTCCTCTCTGTGTCATAAAAAACCTTGGGGAAAAGATTCTGTTTTCTAGAGGTAGGTGCTCTAGGCTTTGAGTCACATCTGTATTTCAAAAAGTAATGAACAACATCTACAAGTTCTGATTTGAATAAATGGCTAAAAGTAAGGATGCCTTTTTGAGGACTTAAAATACTTCCTCAGGATAGTCTCAATTCTTGCCTTTTGTTAGACTGAAGTAGCACTGGTACTACTGTACATTTTGGTATAGTGCTTTTGGCCTTAACTGAAATTTGGTCATAAAACACCATGTAAAAGTGAGATGGATTTTGCTATTGAAAGGAGACCATTTCTTTTGTTATTTTTAAATACACTAACTTCCTCCCTTCCATTCCCTTTGTAATATGCCTATTAGTGGACACAGTTTAACTGGTCTGCAACAGTTTCATTTCTTGTACTGGTGTTTTTAATTCCCTCTGTAGGAAGTCTCCGGTCTTGCAGTTCATCAGACTGCTTTAGTAAAGTGATGCCTCCAAGGAAAAAGAGGAGACCTGCAGCAGGAGATGATTTATCTGCTAAGAAAAGTAGACATGATGGGTATGTCATCTTACCATGAGCTAAGACTGATGGAATATCTAAAGTTGAATAGCTGATATGATCATGTTTTTAAATACTAATGGAAATGGTATTCAAATTTGCTTGGTTTCTCAGTATGGAACCATAGCCTGTGATTGCACTGTGGGATATCAAGAAGTACATCAAGGTTCAGCTTGCATCTCACCTTTTTCTAGTTGTACAAGAAGCTCATAGGGAGCTTCTTGTTCTAGTTTTCCTGATGTCAAAGTAGAGATACTTGCTTGTTCAAAAACAGCTTTGAAGAGATACAGTAATATCTTCATGTGTACATGTATAAATCTGGATTGGGCATTCTCAATCTACAGCCTGTTGGAAAAGTGAATGTAGTTGTAGTCCTCTTAGTTCTTAACCTGAAGTCCTGCTAGTCTCTCCCTGTCATGTTGTCATTAGATACTTATTGTGTAAGGGAAAGGTGAAGATTGCCCAGGCAAGGTGGTAGCCAGTTGGAGTGGTGACTTGCAGCAGGAGCGCAAGTGGGTTGTAACTGTGTGCGCAAGCAGTGTATTCTTTTGTGTAGGAGTTGCACAATTGAGAGTTATCGAAGTGTTGGATTTTCAGTATGTGTATGTTCAGTCAGCCTCAGTCATTCAAAATGGAGCACATCGAATGTGCTTTTTGTGTGCAAGATAGTTACTGTTTACGTGCACTGAATTCAGAACTTGTGGGAGAACAGGACTCTATGCTCCTGCATGGTAGGTGCAGGACTGTCATGATGTTGAAAAGTGAGGTATACAGCCAGAAAGTTTGTTTGCCACTGCATCTTGTCAGTAGAATTTGAGCTCTATTACATTCATGTATTACTGGTGACTAGGAAAACACATGCTTCCATAACAAGTAACTCAGGAAAGTAGAAAGATGCAGTTCTCTCCTAACTATGAGCCTGAAATCAGGCTGAGTGCTTTACTTTTTATTTTCTAGCATGAGTAAGAAAAATGCTAGTAGCCAAATTAAGCTTCTGGTTATGCCTCTATAACTCCATTGTGTTTAATAAGGTTGCACAACTCTAGCTGCAGTGGAATTTATTAAATGATCTGTTGATGGAGAAGAAGAAAGAGATTTCAACTCCCCCTTTCATTGCTTTGTGTATGTAACACTAACAAGAACAAAAAAGCAGCACAACTTCTAAATATATTCTGTTGGTTTTCAGAAATAATAATATACAAAAGCTAAATAGTTGATAGAGAACATTACAGCTTATTCAAATATATGCGTGCAATATGGAAGTGAAACAAGCAGAGAATGTTTCTAGAATCTTAAGTAGAGAGGCTCACAAAATTTAACTCTATCTCCCTTTGCCAAGACACTGGTAAAACAAAACAGCCCAAAAGCCCTAGGAGAGTAAGTTTGTCTATAAGACATACTGGTTTGTGTAATTCAAATAAAAAAATGATAAACTGATTTCTTACTCTGTAAGTAGTATATATAAAAATATTTTTTAAGAGCTTTTTGAAAGCATAATTTGAAGGATTATATATATGTATATATTTTTATATATATATCTCTACTTTTTAGCTTATAAGTAATGGCTATAGTCTTCATTCTACTGCCACTTAAGGCTTTATTAAAAGGAAGACCTCAGCCTGCTTTTACAAGTGGAGGTGAAACCAGATCTGCCTGTCATGGGCCACAGGGGGATTATCCTTGTCTGATGTGGTTCCAATTTTTATCTGTCTTCCTTCTTAACTTCTAAAGGTTTGCAGGCTTTCTCTGCTTCCAAGTGTGTAAGTTTCTTTTCTTCTGGTCTTCAAGAAAACTGTTTTTATTTCAACCTGACTGGCAGTATGAAGTCATTGAACATTCAGCTCAGTTTTGGATCTCTTATTTCCTTTCAAGGAAGGAAGGGTTTCTCCAGAATTGGCTTATGCCCCTGTAACATTCTGTGAACAAGTTAGACAAAGAGCAGGCTGTCTCCTACTGCCATGCATGTTTGTCAGGTGGAGCTTATGCCTGTCACGTTTGGTCTTTGGAGGTCAAACATCTCAGTCTGTGAAGCAGAAATATATCTGAAATCAGGAATCTACAGCAGTGTGCTGTAGCAGACCTAGTTATTTGCAAAGCCGTTTCCTCTTGTGCTGTATGTAAAGAGTGCTGTGTATAATAAGCCCAGTACGGTTAGTGCAATGCCAGTTTATGGAATAAGGGGCTTCTAGGCTCAGTTCTTTACTATTGCCTCTGTTTTAGAGGCAGAATTCTAGAAGCTAGTAACTAGTAACTCAGGATAAGCATTTAAGGGACATTAGCCTGTGGATTCTATATTAAGCAAAAAAGGTAGTCAGAGTTCTGTTCTCGAATGCCTACTTCCAATGAAAAAATACATGTTCTCTCCAGCAGAAATTGTATTTCCTAACAGGTAATTTGTCACTTCAAATGCTTATGCGATGATGTAAGTTTTGTATGTTTCTCAGTTATAATGGCAAACTTACCAGAGCAACATTAACAAATGAATTCAATAATTGCAAGTCTCCTGTTTATTTTCAGTGGGAAAGTGTTAGGTAATAGTTTGAAGATTATCAAAGGAGTGTTACCATTAGCAGTGTTATCGCAGCTGTAACCAGATGTTGATAATTCCTCCTGGTTTGTCTATACAAAGGAAATTAATTTGTTTTTTAAATCCTTTCTTGGGTAATTTTGTTGTGTGGTATCTTCAGTCTTCACTACTTGGGGTGTGTTCTTCAACAGGAATATTTTTGAGGTATGTATTCTTTCCAGAAAGTTTATTTCAGCAGGCCTCTGTGCCGAAGGAGAGGGTGATTTCTAAAGGCTCTTAAACTCATAAACTTAACCACATCTGATACCAGGGGGCTTATAATAGCTTTCACCCTCAGTTCTAGGCTGTTAGGGTTACAGCCTTATCTTGGAAGGATTAGTGGAATAATGATACTGGCTTTCGAGGAAAAACACAGGAATAAATCTAGTTGTTAGTGAAGTTATTTGGAAATGCTGATTTCATGCGTAGACTGATTAGGGAAAACAAAGATTCCAGATACGTTCTTTAGCATCCCACTCTTACATAATGAGAGCTTGAATTTGCTTAATTAATGTTCATAAAGTCAGCTTGAACTGTGAATGCAGTGTTTCAGTGGGAGGAAGCTTTTATACCAGATGTATAGTGAAAAGAACTTGGTGTATTCATTTTTGGATCACAGTCAAATTTATTCTACCTTAAAGAATAGCTATTGGAGGTAAATAGTTTAGCACACATTAACCAGAACATAATGACTTGAAGACTTTGTATTTTCCTCCCAGCATCACAGTCTTGACTCTACTCCACTTAAAATATGGTATAGGGTATTCTCAAATTTGAGTTAAGTATACATTTTGTGATTATTCACTCTGTTAATGTCTTAGGAAAGGTAAATCAAGTTTCATGTAATGATACTTAGTAAGAATATGGTCTCTGCTACGTAATTATCTAATGTTGTTTATCTATAGCCAAGTACTGGCTTTTTCCTTAGGGAAAGCTGAGCTGTATAATGTAATGTCTTCTTTCTGATAGTCTCATTTAAAAAATAATTCTACTCCTTATTCCAGAATCATGCTGAGGGCAGAAATCTTACAGTAATGGATGTCTGTACCTTAGAATGATGAAAACTAGGAATATTTGTCTGCTTCCCTAAAAGATATGTTTTCAAACAATTAGATCTAGAGCCTAATTTATCAGAGATGTGTGTATGGACCACATAATGTCTATTAATGTGAAAAATATATTTTATTTATTGAGTAATAAGCTCTATACCCTATAGTGGAAAAACGTAAGTTTTCAAAACATGGTCAACACGCTTATTAGCATAAGGAAGTAAAATGGGAGTTTGCTAACCTTGGAAGTTTTCAAAACCGTCAGTGATGAGAGGTTATTTAGTTCTGTTGTTGTTAACTAACTGGTTTGGTCCTGCCTTGTGCAGTTGTGTACACCTTTGTAGAGAACTTCACTTTATAGTTTGGAAGAAACTTAAACTGGACATGTGACTTAGTATGTATACTTAGCTCTTATACATAAAGCTCCTTAACTAAGCCTGATGAAGTTCAAAACATTATTTTTAAACTTTAGAGATTATTGCAAGTCTTAAAATAGGGAGAAATAAGGCGTATTCCTTCATAAAACTTACCAGTCAAGTAAATTTGTGCTGAGGGTTGCTTTAGGCAGTCTTTATAATGCCTTGCAAATTGTAAAACATCTCTTCCTCGTTCCCCTTGTTTCTACTACAGTATTTATGAAACTATTGCTAATATCATAATTGTGAATAAAAAGGTAAGGCTTTATAGTAATATTTTTGTTGTGCTGCACTGATGAAAATTCTCAGCCAAAATTTTAAGTTAATTAATTAGAATTAACGGAAGTAGTAGGGGGCACGTTCTTCAATCAGAAGTTTGCATCTTTCAAAATATAAATAATCTGAAAGCAATTAGTTACTCAGTTTGAAGCTTGGATGAAATGAGGTAAAGTTTTTGGATAAGTTCTGGTTCAACAGAAACAAAGCTACTGTTGGTAAACTTCTTTAATGTTTTCATTCAGTAAACACTGACCATCTAACACAACCAGGCTGCAAATCTTGATGAGGGGGTAACTTTTGACCTACCATTATGAACTATTACCTTTTTGTTTAGGTTTTTTTTTTCTTTTCCCTCTCAAATGAGCAATTACCAGCTTCCATATCAAGAAAATGTTTTGTGTGACCTAAACTCAGTGCTTTCACTGATCTCATTTTGAGTATTCTGAAGTCACACAGCCCAGAGTTGCTACTGTGGTAGGTGGAGCTCTAATGTCAGTACAGTTGAAGTATGCTCAGAGCAGGACTAGAAAATGAAACTTGTGAAGACCTCATTAGATTGAAGAGAATTGCCATGACCTTGTTCTTTTGCTGGCAGTGACCATGTATGGTGACTTGCCTGGTAAACTCTTAATAGCTGGATGGAATTTTCATGCTTTTGGTTTCCCACCAAATCAGTTACGGATGGAGGAAAATAATCTGGAAAAGATATGGATGATGAAAGGCCCGGACAATTAGTTTGTTTTTTTTTTTAATAGTTTGGTTGCATCTACCTACGCCGCTTCCAGTTATAAATTGCATTGTCTCATCTTTATTGCATGGACATCAGTTCCCTAGCTCAAAAGAATATTTCAAAGACTAGCTTAAAAATGGATGTTACGAGTCAGCTCTTAGGTCATGTTGGAGATGCAAGCATTTCTGAGACAATAACTTAATTTAAATGTGGTTAAGTAGTCAATACCACTTTTATAAAACTTGAGCTGGTTAATTTCACATTGCTTTTTCCCAGCGCTGTCCCACATTCTTTCCTCTCTAGCAGGTAAAATAGCTGTTAGTGAAAAAGCTAAATGTTCCTTAGGGGAATATTGGTTATAATGTAAAAAAAAAAATTTGTTAAGTCTGCTGTCACCGTTGTGATACTGACAGTGTCATACAAAACTAATAAAAACTGTTATTTTTCAAGCAAATATTTATCTGAGTAATTGGACCTCCATGTGTGTCTCATCTGAGACAAATAAATACTCTTTGGCCATTGGTAGATTTTTTTTCCCTTTTTTTTTCCTGATGGGGTAGTGTGTCAGGGTTCAGAAATGGAAGGGTTATTCTAAACTGAAGTCCCGGAGTTCATTGTTGTAGAGTGGTGGTAGCAATAGTGGACACTCTGGGAGAAAGTTCTGCATGCACTTTTCTAGCTCTGATGATGGAGACAGCACCCTTTAGCAAACCTGTTGTAGTGTAAGCATTCTCTGACAGTAGTACAAATTCTGGTACCAAAAGTACCAGCCATACTCGTTGGCCCTTCTTTTATGGAAGGTGTCTGTGGGGTTTTTACTCCTCTTCCTTGCCCCTTCTTTTCTTACCCCCTCTCCTCTAGACTTGGAGCAGGATATTCTTTCATTTCTGCTGTTTAGCTGAAACTCTGCAGGTTCTTCTTACAGACCATCAATGGATAAGCAAGTAAACTGTAACATGGTCAGCATAATGATTGTGCATCTGTTTGAGGGTACTGGGGCTGTTCATCTTGAGGAAGCTGTGAACCGTTGAGGACTTGCAGTTTGAAACTCAGATCTGCTTGGTAGATGTTTGGTGCTCCCAGAGTACTCAGATATCTACCGTCTGCGCTCTGGCAGTTTGTATTTGCGTAGCGAGAGACACTGTCCTTAGCACAAAGACAAGGCACATCATCTTGCACTATGTACGGGGAAGTTCCAAAGATAAGAGAAATACTCAAGGATATAAAATAAATGCCAGATGTCTCTGGCAGTTTGTGGTTTTCTCCTCTGTATGCACTGATCTTGAGACAATCACATCTGTGTTAATGATAGTTCAGAGGACACAGTCTTTGGAATTACCTTTACCCTTTGCTGGCAGGTTGGGCTTGCTGTGATAATTGGACCAAGGTGTCCTAGGCTGTAATGTCAGATACTTGTCTACTCCTTGCTTATCTCGCTTCACCAAGCGCTTCAGGAATTAGGAGTCTCTTGATAATAGAACTAGCTGGTTTGGCTAGACTGGGAAAGAGAAACACATTTGGCATTCGGAGTCAGCAGGGAGAGAACAGGTTTCATCTTTTGTATGAGAGATCACTAATAGTGGGTCTGCATTGGTGTCGCTCATTTCTGTTATATTCCTTTTCCAATGATCCTTGTCTTGCAGACTGTGATCTGCTTTTAGTTTCTTTATGTTGAGCAAAAGGCATTTGAGATTCATCCATCGATTTTTGTTGCATGGTTTTATGTTTCTGGCTGTGCACAATGCATGATATGGTGTCATCTGCTCTTCTAATTGTTTGGCTAATTCGCTTGTAGCAGAGACTAGGATAGCTCAAAATTACATTTGGTCTGATTTTATTTCTTGAATTTGTGAAGTAATTTCTCTGTTGGCAAGGTTGGAAGTTCTGTGATCAGTTCTGGTTTCTCAAAATCAAACTCTGTTGGTCAGTTACTGAGGTTTTTTTGAACAATGATAAGTTCGAGGCCAGAGTGTTTTGCTTGGAGTTATTTGGCTGTATGTTAGTCACATAGACTTCCTAATGAAAGTTGTTTCCTGCAGTTCCAAAACAATGACCTTAGCCTTAAGCACAATATTAGTCCTATGAAAACTCACTATGTGTAGATGCAGTGAATATATAAAAAGGGTGTTGTTTTTTCTGTTGTCATTCACCAGTCTTCTTATGCGTGCTCCTGTCATTGGTGTCTTGGTTCAGGCTACAGTGTTTAGCTCTGGTGTATGTAGATGCAGGAATCCTTTTTCTGATATACCTGGGTGACCTAGAGCTCTGTTAGTAAATTTTTCTTGAAGGTTCCTTCCCAAACGCACTGTTCACATACTGACAGTGAGTGTGCCAATGGGTTCCATGAACAAGCAGGGCAAGGCACTTGGTTATCTTCCCTTTGTAAGAACAAAGAGAGTCTTGTGATGAATGTCTGTCTTTGAGAACCACATTAGCTTTGCATGTCCTAGGTCCCAGCAGTGCTCTTAGAGAATTCTTGAATAAAAAGAATAGAATAAAGATGTTGGCTAGCTCCTGATACAGTCAATTTCCAATTTGGTATTTCAGTTGTGTTTGTCACGTTTGTTTGCTACAAAAAAAAAAGGGATACTGAATAATTAGACTTCTGCCAAAGTGGCAGAATGCTTCCTTTCTTTGTCTCAAGACATTTTTTTTAATTTCTCTGAATTCAAATTAGCCTAAAAAATATTGGGTAGGTCTTTCAAAATCACAGGTCATTCTGCAAGTATGAGAATGTCAAGTTATCAGATCTGGAACAAAATAAATTGTTCCAACTCTTGACTTCTACCTTCTGGCTTCATTTACTTACTGGGCAGTGCTGTCAGCCTGTTCATTTGCAACTGCAGTAAAGCTTGCACAAAGTAGGTAATTCAAAGAGAAAAAACTTTTTAAGCTGTTTTAAAAATGAAAATTTAAAAAAAAGAAGAAAAGAAACAAACCCCAACCCCTCCAAAAATCCCCAAAACAAAAAGAACCAATCCAAATCAAAAATCAGACATACAGATGGTGGTTATGTGAATGTATATGTTTGGGACACGTGTGACTGGCATTTTTCTGCAGTGTTGCAGTTAGTTGCAGATCAGTGTGTTTCAGAACAGTGTTACTTTTTCTTTCCATCTTGAAATGTCTGAAGAGCATAATTTATATTTGTCTTTCAATTAGCAATTTATCATTTTGTTCTGACCAGGATTATTTTTCTGATAGTTGGTTTAAAATAGCTATGACAATAAACACAAAGCAGTTCTTTGAGTCACTGTAATGATCTATATGCCATTAATGTCTAGCTACAGTTCCTCCTAGCTTGTAGGGTAGGTGGAGGATAGTGGGATCCAGTGTACTCTAATCTCCTAAGTATACACATCTTTTACATGTCTTTCTAGAGGAAAGTGGTGATGAAATCAACTCCAAATTAATTTCACCAGGTTGTTTCCAAACTCCTTGAAGCAGTTAGCTGCTGTTTTGTTCTCCCCCAGCAGGACGGTAAGAGGAAGGGCTGCATGCTTGGAACAATCACAGAGTCATTCTTGGCTACCTCCCCTAATCTAAGCCATTTGTTGCTTGACTCTTTTCAGCCGGTATGAGCACAGACTACTGCAGAGTGGTGGAAATGGATCAGAGAATGCATGTGCAGCAGTGAACAGCTAGTTAGACTGCTGAGTCTTTTGCCTCTAACACAAATGATAGTGTCTCTGGTTCAGAGAAGTCTAAACAGGGTGGAGTAACTCATCAGCTTCTGCTGTGCCTTCTGGGCTTTAGGTGTTGCAGATGCTGAAGTCAGGAGATTGGTACTTCAGTGTTGTTTCCTGAATGTAGTTAAAATTCTTTATGCTTCTTGTCAAAGCAGAGCGTAACTTTGCCTCCTTGGGGGGGGGGGGGGGGGAGGAACATTATGGATCTAGCTTTTCAGATAACTTTTCACCCCATGATGAATGAGGTTCCTTGAGTTACTGTCAGTAAGGACCTGTATCCTGTTCTCTGTAGTTCTTTTGTGTTACCAACTTACAGGCTTTAGAATAATGTATGTGTGGGTTGTGTCTATTTTGGTCTTCATACCTTCTAGAGGATTTTTTTTGAGGAGGCAAGAAGAGTATGTGTCATTCTCCTTAGTAGATAATTCAAAGTATATGAAGTATATGTGTTCACTGTGACTTGCAGTTACTGTGGGTTTAGACGCCCAGCTAGGTTGCAGCCCATCAGTTGATTGTAGTCACTGCTAGTGTGCACAAGTCTTACTTGAACTTATGCAAAACAGTTTGGGTTTGAATTTGAGCTAGTCTGTATTTGTTGTAAGGAAAGTTCATGTGCATGGATAATAGTTATGAATCAGTTGAAGTGTGACAGACTGAGCAAACATAGCATTTAGGTTCAGTGGTTCTTGTTCTGTTAAGCAGTATCCCAAGTGACTGCATATGAGGACAGAATGTTGGGTAAACTGTTCATGAGTTAACACTGCTGCTTATAGTGTCTGAATAAATATTGCTTCTAAAAAAGTGATGAATTAATTACTTGTTTCTCTTTTATTTTTGAAGTATGTATAGAAAATATGATTCGTCTCGAATAAAAGCAGAGGAAGAAGTCTTTTCAAGTAAGAGGTGCTTAGAATGGTTTTATGAATATGCAGGTAAGGGTGAAATGCGAATTTCTTCTTACTAGCAATTCAATCTATATTGGAATAAGAAAGTTGCATTAACTGACCTTTTCCAAGAATGACTGTAGAGGCTTTTTTGTGAAAGTCTTAAAGAAGCTTTTCTTATGTTCTGTGTAGTGTGAACTTGAAGGGTTCCAGGGGCAGTTTTATCTTTATTCTAGAAAAAGAATGGAGAAGATGTGTAACTGAAAGTATTTTGGAACATATATACTTTACTATTCAAATCTATAGCTAAATATGTACCTCTTTCCAAAGTGGTGTTACCTCTACTTCTTTAGAAGTCCTGTTATCTGCCATGTTAGTGCTGAATAGTACAGAATTATGCTTCACAAGTGTGTCTTTTTCTTTTCTTTTTTTTTCTTTTAATTAAAGTTGGGATAGGTAGAAACATTATTTTGTTTTTCTGCTAAGTGCTGTGCATATGATTTCAAGCAAAGTAGTGTATAAATTCAAGTATCCCATACTGGTCTTGTCTTTATATAGTTTTATATCACAAGGTATAGGAAAGGTAGACTGAAGTATTTTTTTGCCCTTCTGTATGAGAACTTTCTTCAGGCATTACTTCTAGGGTTGTTAATTATGATCTGAAGTCACAAAAGATGGCCCGTTAATACTGAAGTTGGTGGTTGTATTCATTTTTTTACATGTGATTTTCTGAAAGGGAGAACTTAAAGTATGGGAAAACATGATCTCATGACTCTAAAAACCAAAAGGAAATGAAATAGGTGATTGACAAAATAAGGTTATCTTGCAGTTTTATGATGTTGTCTTGGATACCTTTTCTCAGAGCTTGTTCTGTTTTATCTGCTTCTTATGCATAATGAACAGTGACAATTTGATGTAATAATATCTTTCTTCTAATAAAATTACATAAACTAAATCAAATACTTTGATATCTCACTTGTCTGTGGCAGTCTGTGAGAGGAGATTCATTCAAATTCAAGCCAAACCTAACCTTTTAGGTTCTCTGCCTTTCTGACCAGCTTGATTTATTTTTTTACTCTAGCAACAGGGATAACTCATTTTTGTCAAGGCTTTCATGGAAGGAAGGGATGAAAGTAAGGCTGTGTATGAAAGAACTTTTGGTTTTCCATTGGATGCATACACCAAGATAAAACAGAGAAAAGTGGAGAGTATGATTCTGTTTACAGTATTGAGTAACATTCTAAAAATTAATTTTCAAAGAACAATCTATTTGGTGTTCTTGCTTCATAAGTCTTCTCCTTTATATATGCAGAGAGTTGACACTGCATTTGTTTGGTGGTTTTTTCCCTAGTGTGTGTTTTTACATTACAGAATGAGCCTTTCTAAAAACTATTGTTTACACTCAGAACTATGAGAGGATATCATGAGAAAATGGGAAAAGATATAATTAAACCTTGTTATTTTAGAATAGTAGGTCACCTGATAATAAACCAGATCTCTTTCTTGCACCTTGTGATCTTTATATCGGATAAAAGTAGGCATTTCAGCCTTTAATGTTCTGGGTTTTGTTTTCCCTGAATGAGTCCTTTTAAACATAATAAAGAACTCTAAGAAAATACTCCAGATACTTAAAATCTACTTAAAAAAAATAAATTGCACAATGCAGTTCTTAATGCCTATATAATTTTTTCAAGAGTATTACAGAGATTACAAATATCTTCTTTTAACAGCATGTTTTAATAATAGTGCATTTAAACAGCATCTATATTTTTCGTCTTCTTTTTCCCCCATCTAAGTTGGCAAAGAAATAGCTGTAATTCATGTCTTCTTTTCCCCTGCAGTTATGCAGTTACTAAAATTCAGATAATGTGTGGCCATGACATAGTAATGTGAACAAACAGGAGCACAAGACTTTTATTTTCGGCTTTTTTTTTTTTTTTTTAGAAAATGCTATGTAGATATTATTTGAGACAGTAAGGAAGGAGATTCTGAGAATGATAATGTCTTATATCCTGTATAGCTATGTATCATGTTTTTATGTGATATGATCTTGTGGTAACATTAGAGGTTCAAGCCAAGAAAGGAGTTTTGCTAACCACTGTCCACCCATTTAACCATGGTATTATTAGGTGGATGTTTTGCTAGTCCTAAGTGCATTCTTAAAGGTCTTATTAATTTACTCTTGCAAGATTATCTCAGTAGATGGGTAGAATAAAGGATATTGTCAGGAAATAAAAGTAGTTTTACGTTTTTTCTGTCTCTGTTTCCAAAGGTGAGATAAAGATTTAAGTGTATCCAGATCTGATAGTAAGTGTGGAAATACTTATTGTGTGTCAAAACAAAAAACCCCAAACTGTACAGAAGTTGAGGTTGTACTGTGTGATTTCAGTTCTCTTGTGCTCTAAAGGTGTAGGACTGCTTTAATTTTCAGAGATAAATAAAATGTATTACGTTTGCAGGCACTGATGATATTGTAGGGCCAGAAGGTATGGAGAAATTTTGTGAAGACATTGGAGTTGAACCAGAAAATGTAAGTTCAGAGTCCATTAAAAAGCTGCCTGATCTGTTATGATGCACATGAGAAGGTCTTGTATCTCTTATTTTCCGTCAAGAATTAAAATAACACCTGGAATTGTTTTGATGGTGTTTTTTTTTTTGTGGGTTTTTTGGTTGGTTGGTGGGGTTGTTTTTTTTTTGGTTGTTTTTTTTTGTTGTGTTTTTTTGTTTGTTTGTTTGTTTTTTAATAAAGAAATATAAACCACGGAGGTTTATGTGCGCATTTGGAAACAAGTTGCTTTTATATTAAACCCCAAACTGTCAACCTGTAAAATCTCAATTAGTCTATGTTGCCACCTCTTCTTTCACTTTCCCACAATTCCAAAAAAGAGATTTGAGAGGTTCTTTAAAATAAAAGTTTAAAGGCTGCTGGCTGTCTTTTCAGAAACAACGAGAAGACACAGGAGATTTAATGTAGCAGGTACAAAACTGTAAAGTAGTGTTTTATTTGGGTTTTCTTGGAGAGCAGATTTCGAAAACTGTGAGCAGTATTAGCACTCCCTTTATGCCATTTAAAAGACGAATAAGGGATACCTGTGACAACATACATGCATACGCCGCCATGCATACATATATGTATATGTAAGTAAAAAAAATTTAGAAATGAATAGTGCCTTTTGCAGGCTTTTTCCTAGTGCTTAATCTTTGCTTTTAAAATGTATACCCTAGGCCTGTCTTTTACAGGTTTCATAAATTGTCATCTCTAAGTAAAATGAGAATTGTGGCTTTGAGAGATTTACTGGAAATGTGATTACCTAATTGTGAAGTTTATTAATCCAGTAACCCCTTGATATTTATGCAGACATTTGGGTATATAAGTAGGTGTTCTGATTTTGCATTAAAATCCATGTAGAGCTGTATTAACAGCTAGTTAATGGCTGAGTTGCAAATTTAAATTACTTGATTTTTTTCTTCTTCTAGTCTGCAGCGCAAATTGTCCTGAAAGTTTTTCCCTGTGTTTATCACAAGTGGTTTCTTGAGTTCCTGAGTAAGACTGTAGTCACTTTATCTGAATTCTTTATGGCTTCAGTCGTCCTTGTTAGGTGTGAAAAGGACTCTGGTTCCTTTTGGGCAAAACTGAAGTTTTTTTTTATCAGCCTCTGCTTTGAGTATGTTAATGTTAGTTAATCTAGCTTTACTTAACATCTACTAGAATTAAACTGCATGTTCAGACCTGCGCAATTAGGTAGGCTGGATGGAATAGCTGGTTTCAGGTGGGATCACGATTAGCTTTCAATAATTGGATTTCATAGAGCTCATGGATTGCAACTGATGTTCATCTAGAGGAGAGTGCAACAAATGTCAAATGTAACTTGTCAGCACGTTGGTACTTAACTTTTGTAACCGTTTTGGAAAATCGTTTCTGTAGCTTTTGCACCTACTCATCTTCCGTGCCGCTCACTAGTTGGCTGTACATGCTGCTTTAAAGCAGGGTGGCTACTTGTAATTTGGGTGGATGTTCAGTGTGTCTTTACACTTAATCTTGTCCTTGGATTATGTACAGGTTTGTCATTTTCAGGTTTTTTTAACTTTTAAAATAGTGCAGCAAGGATCTGAACATCCCATTTAGATGAGTAAAGCGTTAGTAGCCTACTAAACAGTTACTTGAATAATGTGTGCATCTTTTTGTTAATTCTTTTCAGGTAGTTATGCTTGTACTAGCATGGAAGTTGGATGCACAAAACATGGGCTACTTTACATTACAAGAATGGTTAAAAGGAATGACGTCACTACAGTAAGTGCTTTGGAAAACCTCGTACACTTGTTATAGTAAAACCCAGTTCTTAGAAAAAACAGGCTTTGATATTTTGACTCATAACGCTTAAAGTGGACAGCTCTGCTGTGGAGTGAAAGCCATACTTTTTTGGTCCCATTAATGGTGATACAGCCACCTAGAGAAAACTTGAAACCTGACAGCTACTCATTTAAATACAGTTGGATTAAAATGTCTGCAGTCTCAAGAAAACAGAAATGTCATGAGGTTCAACACTGGTTTTGTCCCCAGAGATATCTGTCTTTGTCACTGGATTGGACCTATCTATTAGATATTGGCATGTTGTTAGAGCATGCGTGGTTCAAAATGCCAAATAATACAAAACCTGTCTGTGATTCTTCATTGTCATATTCTTTCTAAGATTTGCTTTCTGTAGTTGAGAGCTTATCTTTGTGGCATAATTAACAAATGCAATTGAATAATCATGTAATTCACAGAGAGCTGGAGAAAGAACTGTGTTTTGACTTGCCTTCCAGAACAGAATCACTAAAACTGTGTGAGAATTTTTATAGTTTCAGCAAAGAATCGTTTCACTGCTGTGGTTTGCTGGTTATTTGCCATGTATAGACAATGTCTTAGTTTAATCCTCTGGAGAGTGCATTTTCCACAAGGCCAGACAATTTTTTATCAGAATACCAGTGTCAGACTTTTCTATTTTACCTAAATTCGTTTCATACTATGGGTTTAATCAAGGCATTTTATGCAGACAAACTCATAAACATGCCTTTGTACAAAGTGATGTATTTTGAACAGATTGATGGGGATACCTGTTAGAGATGCTTTTCTAAACCATCGGACATTTGTGTGAGAATGCAGACTCTTAAGTTCACTTTGTGCTTTTTTTATAGATGTGATACTACAGAAAAATTGAGAAATTCTCTGGATTACTTGAGATCTTTATTAAATGAACCTACCAATTTTAAACTTATTTATAGATATGCATTTGACTTTGCACGGGTAAGTAATGGAGAGGACCAGCATCTGAAATTAAAACTTTACATTCATAAGTAATGATTGGAAGACTGTATATTTCTAAGTATGTTTCTGTTAAGAAACCACTCTAGATTGCTTCTAACAAATGGATCTGTTCATATTCTAAAAAAGTAAATGTAAAATGCTAGAACTGGAAAAGTATATAGGATGCTCGAAGTTCAGTGGTTTAGTGTTTTGACATTATTTGTTACGTCTCTGCTTCAAGCTATTGTGTAACTCCAAGGAAGTAATTTAGGCCCTATTCTGTTGTATATTGGATGACTGTTGGAAGGTCATTAATGGTGTTCTCAGTATTTGTTAAACAATATACTGAGAGCAGTCTTCCTTTTGTAAAATATGTATCCATAAAACTGTACCTGGTATTGGAACCCATAATATACATAGGACTATTCCTACTTAAAGGGAGCAATAAAATAACTTTAATTTTCTAAATTAACGTTTTGACGTGGAATTTGGACATTTATCTTGCTAATGTGATGTAATGTGATGTACAGATGATTTAACATAAACACAATCACAGGCAAAACTGAAGCTAAGATTTCAGTGGAGGAGAACCAAATGCACCAAGAAAATTTGCAGGAAAAAAGAAGTAACATGAGAAAAAGAATAAGAAAGACTTGCCTATCAGAATTGCTCTCAGTTCAATTTCTGTCATAGGCAACTCAGGTTTGTGGTACATCAGTGCTTTCTACATGTTAGCTTGCAGAGATTCACAGTAGTTCACTTTTAACCGAAGAAACCTACAGCTGAGTATGTCAAAATGCATGGTGTTAGTTTGTATGAGAGAACAAAAAAAGTTTTATGAACATCTTAATTACTCCTTTGCTGTGTGAAGATTGATTCTGCCAGTTTTGGTCAACATAAAATGCAAAGGCAAGAAATAACATTTTCAAGGAAGATACTGATGGAATATTTTGAACAGGTAGCAAATCTGAATCAGCTAATGGCCTGTCAAAAGAAAGTGCAGAAACTTAAGAAGAGGATAGTGGGTGAGGTTTATTCAAGAGATACTAAACAGATGTCTTGAAAAAGAATTTAAACATTGTGACACAGGTGCTGTGACATCATTTGTGGCCAAAAAAACCCCAGGTTATAGAACTGCAAGTCAAAGGCATATCAACAGGGGAATTGTCAAAACAATATTGGATTAGTAGAATTATCAAACTTTTAATACTGTGGAGCCAGTGGAAGTCTAAAGGAGAGTGGCGTCCAGTGATAATAGAGATGAAGGCTGACAAAGGCTGATATATTTATGTAGATGTAGCAGATAAATCTCATTTTTATCAGAATAATTGAAGTAGTTGGTAGCAGAAAGCTGATGTGAACATTTTTGGGTTTTGATTCAGAAGATTGTATAATTTCTATCCTAAGAGTAATAATTCTAGGGAAGTACTCTATGGCAAAAAGCACTTGTATAAACTTTTGAAGTTTTAAGAGAAAATTTTTGAAAGCATCTGTTGTGATTTGGTAGAGTTACTTTGTCAATAAGAATAAATATCATCAAGGTTTTGTGCAGCATGAATGATTTAAGTCAGCAGGGATTTGAGGAAATAATTTAAAATGCCATATGTTGGTATTAAGCACAAATACACTCCTCGCTTCCTGTTTGCTATTGTCATTCCCAAGTTTGAGAACTTACAGATTCATGTATTTCATGGCTTAAACAGCTCTTTTACCTGAAATGTGGGGGGGGAGAAATCTCAGGCTGTCTATCTTCAGTGTAAAACAAATACTAACATTTATCACAGTTTGTCAATGTATTATTTCCCACTGTATCCAAGAAAGTTAATGTAAGTATCTGGAAATGCAATTGAAGCATCTGTTACAGCAGATGCGCCATTAGGCAGTTGGAGGTGGGTACAAAGGGCTTATCTGAATAATCTGTTCTGAACAGTAGTCAGAGAGAGAATGTAGGAACTTTACAATACAAGGCATGTAAAAACAGCCAAAGTACAAGGAACAGAGCCTGATTTCATTAACACTTAAGTGTGTGGGAAGAATTCAGAGTATAAACAGTATGGAAAGTAAAATGTATTCTTATAGCAGTATCATTTCTGCCTAAAGGTGTTTGTGACAGGTGTAAATGGGCTTTGGAAAGAGGATTAGTTTTTAGAACTTTTTTGGTATTGGAAATAAGTGAAAGATTTGTATCGTATTAATACAAAATGCCTTTGCAGGTGTGTTTTTTTGATTTTATTACCAATTGAAAAGCTTTGTTCATACGGGAATTTACTGTTTTCCTCTAAATCAGAATGAGTGAAGTCCCTTTTGGTTTACATTTGGTCACTAAACCCAGTTTCTGATGTTTTCAGAGCTGCTGGACTCTTTTTTTTTTTTTTTTAATGGACACTTTCCTTCCTAAACAAACCCACATAAAATTTGGTCTACAGAATTTTAGAGTTAAAGTTTATTTTATATGAAATGGGTTTCAAGAAGAGAAGATAACCTTGTGGCTAAGGCATTCAGCTGTTCTTCAGGAACTGGAATCTCACTTTACCACATCTTTCATACAGAAGGCAGTTCTGCCTGTTTCAAGATAGTTTTCAATAAAGATGTGTCTTCTGTAATATATACAGTTGTGTTACCAGATATATTAACTTTCCCACTAATGAGATGTAACAGATCTGTTGGGTACAGGTGATACTTTCTTAACTTATCAGAAACAAAAAAATCATCCCCTAAGCCTAATACACTACTACTGCGTTGAACTAAAATTGGGTCTCCGTGTGCTAGTGTGTTTTGTTCCCTTTGCACATTCGATATTTAATCTGAATTCCATGTAATCAGTAGAATAACAGAACAAAGAACCTCCTTGGCTCACTCTTGCATGGTTTCTGTTACTTGGTAGCTACTTGACTATTTTCTGACAGTTATTATTATTACAGTAGCTGTAATAATTCTGCAGGAAATATGTGCAGTGATACTTTTTTAAGAGACATGGATATGCAGAGACATGTGCAAACATGGGTATGGATGTAATGGCCATTGCTTTCTGACAGTGTCTGAAGTTACGAACAGGAGTGTATGCCTCATCGGCAATAATGGTGACAGGTTTTTTGGGAAAGCCTGTATCAAGCAGCATCTCTGAATAGAAAGCTATTAGCTATGGGGAAGGAAATTTTACTAAGAAGTTGTGATTTCTGAAAAACCTCTGCTAGATACTGCTATTTATTATTCATTTGTCAATTTATTTCATATATATGTGCAGGAAGTGAAAAATCCTGAAATTATGTTATTTTCTTGGTTTTGACCTTTTTATGCAGGAAAAGGACCAGCGCAGCCTAGATATCAATACTGCCAAGTGTATGTTGGGCCTTCTTTTAGGAAAAACGTGGTCCCTTTTTCCAGTATTTCACCAGTTTCTAGAGGTACGGAGTTTGGAACAGAGTCACTTTTTTTTTTATCTGTTTTCTCTGATACTTTAACTAGAGATAGAATGAACAACTAAGATTTTTTTAGTTGTTCTGATGTAGAATATACTGATCCCCAAAGCAGTACTTGTAACTGGTTATCTTCCTTTCTTCCTTTTCCCCAAATCCATATGCTGTTAAGATTTATTTAATGCAGGACAAAGTATAGAATGTCTTTGATTTGTTTTTATTGCTGTATATTTGTCCACTAAAAGATGTCTTAATCAAAAACGTGAACTATTCAACACTGGCTTGGCTGGTTAGTGGTTTCTTTAATCCTGTCCAGTTTTAGAAGGCATACAGATTAAAGTAATTCAGCATGAGGTTTAAATTTTCTTTAAGTAAGAGAACCTGATTTTGAGGGAGTTGAAAATATATTTTAGTAACTTCTGTTTCTTGCCTCAAGCAGCAATCAAAATACAAAGTTATCAATAAGGACCAATGGTGTAACGTTCTTGAATTCAGCAGAACAATTAACCTTGACCTCAGTAACTATGATGAAGATGGAGCCTGTAAGTACTACCATATGTTGGTATTCTAAAATAGTTTATTTCTCTGAGCTTAATGATTCAGTGTCCTTTTACAAAATTTTGTAAAATACAGTTATTTGATCTCTCTACAGGGCCAGTGTTGTTGGATGAGTTTGTGGAGTGGTATAAAGGAAAACAGATGACATAGGAGTTTAACTATGCACAGCCACTCAAGAGTCACTGTTACCACAGTTATGTCAACCATTAGCCATAAACTGCTATTTGTATCAAAGTGCATGCTGCTTTTCTTGCACTGCATCCCTTTTGCAGGGAACTTTCGATGTTTGCTATTTAACAAGCTAGCTATGCTTGCTGTGTAGCATTGTTCTCTTTGAAGGCTGCTTTGCATTTTGTATTTACACTACAAATTGGTGAACTTGCCAGCGTCTTCACTGTGATTATGTGTATATTGCTGTCTAAATTTTGTATATGTGTATAAAAAAAACCTTCAGCTAGGGATTATTTCTGCAGAAATGTATTGTAAAAATAATTTTGTGGCATATTTCTAGTCATCACTTACATGTTTGCTGAAACTTTAGCTGTTTTGTTTTTCTTTTGGTCTCAAATGTAGCATTTCAGAAAATGAAATGAACAGACTGCTTGGACAGAGTTATGTGAAGAACTGTTGTCAATTTTAATGTTACTATTTGAGATGCCAGTTTCTGGGAGGAGAAGACATGCTGTGACTTTCTTCACCAGAATTCGCCAAACCTGACCTATTGCTTAACAGGAATGAAACATTGATGTCTTAAAATTCTCTGTATACACATACAAATATCAAACCACTGTAATAGTTGTACATGCCACAAATGATTTCCATTTGAAGAAAAAAGTACTGACTTTTTAATGTTAAAACTGCAGTAGTCATTACAGGTACCAATGAACAAATTAAAGTACCTTTTAAAAATGGGTTTTAGACTTTTGTAAATTGCCTTTGGCATACTCCTCTTAATTTTTGGTGTACCAAGAGTGTTTGGTTTAAGTTGTGATCTTGTGAAACTGGAAGTTGTAGGTAAAATTATTGTTTTGGGGAATAAAGTCTGCTCAGCCCTAGCACATAGATAATACAGATTTGGGGTGGTTTTTTTTTTTTTTTTGTTTTGGGGTGTTTTTTGTTAGCTTGGATGGGTTTTTGTTTGTAATCTTTGCCAAGGTCTCTAACTTCGTGTTTCTAGGTAATTGGAAATATGATACCGAATAGTCAAAACATTACCTTTTCTTTCATGCTGGGGATTGGAATTCCCAGAATGTCCATTGCAGGCAACGGGCATGTTAAACACCAGCATTAAATGGCAGTGCTTTTTAGTAGGGACCACTTCCTATTTCACTCATTCTTTATCTGTATCGGGCCATTCTAGTGTTTAATTTAGGGAAAATGAGTGAATGGAATTACGTTTTGTTTCCATAATTTTGTCACGTTGTCTTTGCCTTATTCTTCTTTAAGTAATGTGCTGATTTTTATAAATAGGTCCTCAAAGTATCCGGTGCTATTAAACTTTGAACCCTTACGATTTATTAAAATGTTCCATATTGATTCACAGAGCATTTAACAAGAAATAGCCAATCTATGTTTTGGAATGAAGAATAACATTACTTTTCTGTAGAAATATTTTACAAGGTATTGGCAGTTTTGATACTGCTCTAGAATGCAATCTGGGGGAGAGGGAAAATGTTTTATGTTGAATGTGAAATTTTCAGCTGTATTGAAGGTCCTGTTCTGCCATCATTGAAGTCAGGAACAACCGTCCTTAACTTGACTACTTTCAAGATTAAGCCTAGTTTAGCAAAAGCTAAATGTGGTGCTTAAACATTAGTTTGCTACCCTGGACCAGGAGGTTGTAATTGTGGTGCTACAGGTGGTCAGTTGTGTTCAAATCTGTTTGCTGTTGTTGATATTTGTTTGTCAAACTCAGCTGCCAAAGACAAATTGTTTGTGTTTATGTATATTTGTATATACATAAATAGACAATATATGTGCATATACAAACCCCTAGAATTTCATGATGCTGAGAAGACGAGACTACCTTTCCCTGTGAAATAGTCATGTTTGGATTTCTAAATAGTGCTATTTGAAGTTAATAGTACTAAAACATACATAGTCATTGCTTTCTTATGTACTTATATGTACTTCTTATGTACTAATACGCATAACCTTAATTCCATGTTTAATGCCAGTTTGCACAAGAAATTAATTCAGTGGAGTGTGGTATTTAATGTTTACAATATGCCTCTTACTAAAAAACATAAGTTTTATTAAGACTTCTGATGTAAATGTATATATTACTGTAGTATAACCTTAAATAATCAGTGGAGCTGCTGGTTTAGTTCTGAAAAGAATGAACTTAGAAGCAATATAACTTTTAACATTAGGCTAGATTGTGGTTGCTAAAATTTTAAGTGAAATACTGTAATTGTTCCTAAGTGTTAAGCTAGTTACTGACTCTAGAAAACAGTTTAGCACAAATTGGCATGTATCCTGCAACAAATACAAGATGTGCATAAAAGGTTTTGTATGTCACACATAATTTGGTTTCCAATAATGGAAGCAAGAGCCAAAGACACTTCTAATCTATTACTGTTACAACTTTCATCTAAGAGGGTCAACAGAAATCTGTTCAGCTTAATCAGGTGCTCCTTTTCCAAGTTTTGCTAATGTTTAGCAGAATACAAAATGTAAATAAGAGCAAATGAAACAGGAGAGGAAACCTCAGAAAGCACTCATGTTGTATAAGGTAACAAACTGAGTTTTCTTTGTGTAAAAGCAATCAGGAGTAATGGAAAGGATGAATGTGTTTGGAAATTAATCAGGTGCTGCAAATTTTTTTCTTCCACTTGCAAGCAGGATGAATCCGTAGTCTTCAGCTGGTTTATAAACATGCATCTTCATATAATCAGCCACAGATTCAGTTGGAGCTTGTAGATGGCTTTACTGACATTTATAGGGAACAAATATACTAAAACGGACCCATATGGCTTGATAACTTTCCTGTGCTATCCATCCTTCTGTTTGTGCTAGATACACTGATAAGTAGAGAAACCTGATATTGCCAGCTCATGTATTTTGGAGAAAATCATTCTCATTTTTAAATACTGTGAAAATGTAACTAAGCCACTGGGTTTACCTTGTAGTTAATACAAGCATGGTGTCTGCTGTTTGGTTTGTTATGTCATGATACAGTTAATACAGGGTTTTGTTTGGGGTTTTTTTTTTCCCCTCTTGAAAGGTAATATATAGAATATGCTGACTTCTTGGACAAGACACTTAGAGGTCATTCTGAAAGAAGTGTCAGGGGTCTTGCGCTAATCTGTCTGGTGTATTACTACTATCCTTATAGCAGAATCTTGATAATCTCTGTGCAATTCACACTTGGTATTTGGGAGATACAAGTGGAAAGCCAGTTAGTGGAAGGAAAACAGCATCCAGAGACTATAGCAGTGGACAGTCTTTAAGTTGATAGATGACAAACATTTGGAGCTCTTTGGACTTGATGGTCTTTAAGGTCTTTTCCAACCTAAATGATTCTGTGAGTATTAGTAACTGGAACATTCCACGAATTCAGTTTCATTCTACAGGAAAATAATATTAAATATTAACAAAGTTCTGTGTGACTCTTTTTTCACTCTTCATCCTTTTCAAGGAAAACAAGCTGAAGAGGATGGAATTTAGTGGAGTCCTTTGTGTGCTTGAGTTTTCAGTTCAAGGTTGTCTTTAAGCTACAATAAATATTTGGGTTACCTTTGTGTAGCCTTTTCTAGCGTTAGTAGAGGACTGGAGATGTCTTCCATCTTACCTCAAATACATGCATTTTATTTCATCACAAATGTGCTCACACAATCCAAGTTAGTTACAGCTCATTGCTACTTGGTAAATGTTCCCAAATTACTTTATTGGAGGGCAAGAAATGGACTTCGGTTGTGTTCAGGTTTTCCCAGATTTCTGTTGATCCTTGGTCACAAGTCTAACAAATTGTTTAATACTCCTGGAATTCATACACACAGCTTTAAAGGTTAGCTTGTGCCCTTGTATAACTGCTAAGATACCTCTTCCTAGGCCTTATATTCTGTCCTTTCATACTGCTGTAAAAGTGTATAAAATCCACCCACCAGCTACATTGTTGTCTGTAACTGAGACCAAAACTTGGCTTGATTTTTTTTTTTTTTTTATTTTTAAAGATTTCCCCCATTCTCTGTGTGTGTGTGTGTGTGTGTGTACACGTGTACATGTGTTGTCACCAAGTAGTACCTACTGACACTGCTGATGCAGGAACAGCAGTTAACCTGTAACTGTGAATGCTTTGTTACTTGGATATTACATAAATAAGGTGTGCTAAGCTCCTGTAATTCACAGCCTGACGGAAATACTGTTAATGCCACCTAACTTGAGTTCCTCTGGTTGATTTTTAGGTCTTTTGCTGGTGTTGATGTAAAATGACATCTCACAAATAAACAGTATTTGTGTTGGTTTCAGCAACTGACTTCAGATTTTTCTATGGTTCATACTTCAGAAATTCTCATATCCCATGCATCACTTCAGCTGGCAGCCTTTATCATTTAGTAGCAGAGAACTGCTATGTACAATCTTGTCATCCTTATTTCTAATAGTAAGGAATATCAGTATTTAAAACTTTGTTGGAGAAAGGTACATTTCAGCTGGAGTGTATGGGTGTAGAACTGCATTGTATTACAAAAGTTTTCAACAAAAAGAGTCAATTTGAGCAGGAATGTCTCAGGATTTTTCAAGAATAATGATTGTTACCCACAACATCTTGCCACAGGCTTTTGGCCCGTGAGGTCCTCATAAGAAAGCTGTTGATGGTATGGGCTGGACGAACAGGCAGTGAGGCAGACTGAAAAGTGGCTGTATGGCAGGGCCCAGAGGGTGGTGGTCAGCAGTGCAAAGTCTAATTGGAGGCAGTAACTGGCACTGTACTCCAGGGTTCAATGCTGTGTCCAGTCCTGTTCACCTTCATTGATGAGCTGGATGATGGGGCAGAGGGTACCCTCAGCATGTTTGACGATGGCACCAAACCAGGAGGAGTGGTTGATACAGTGGAGGGTCGTGCTGCCATCCAGAGGGACCTCAGCAGGCTGGAGAAAGGGACTGACAGGAACCTCATAAACTGAGAAGTGTGAAGACCTGCACCTGGAGAGGATTCGCCCCATGCACTGGCATATGCTGGGACCCACCCAGCTGGAAACAAGCTTGACAGAAAAGCGGCTGGGATTCCTGGTGGACGCCAAGTTGAAGATGAGGCAGCAATAGAAGGCAAATGGTATCCTGGCCTGTGTTAGACAAAGTTTTGCCAGCAGGCTGAGAGAGATGATCCTTCCCCTCTCCTCAGCACTGTTGAAGCCAGACCTGGAGTCCTATGTCCTCTTCTGGGCTCCCCAGTGCCAGAGAAACTCTTGAGTCCAGCAAAGGGCCATGAAGTTGGTGGGGGGACTGGAGCTTCTCTCCCTTCAAAGAAAAGCTGAGAAACCTGGAACTGCTGAGCCTTGAGAAGATGCTAGGGGGAAATCTTACTAATATGTATAAATATCTGAAGGGAGGGTGTGAAGAAGATGGAGCCATGCTCCTTCCACTAGTGCCCAGGGGCAGAACCAGAGGCATGGGTGCAAAGTGAAACTCGGGAGACTCCCCCTGAACATCAGGAAACACTTTTTGACAGTGAGGGTGGCCAAGCACTGCACAGGTTATGCAGGGAGGTGGTGGAGTCCCCGTTTTCAGAGATACTCAAAAGCCTTCTGGATATGGCCTGGGCAAGCAGCTGTAGATGCTCCTGCTTGAGCAGGAGGGGTGGAATAGGTGACGTCCAGAGGTGCCGTCCAGCCAACTCTTCTGTGATTTCTAAAAGAAAATGCTAAAGAAAATTCCCTTCAGTTACTCAAATTTAATGCTGGTAGAGAAG